TAATGGTGGGTGATGTTACTGATATGAATGTTCACATCTGTTAATGTGAGTAATACTGCTGATGTAAATGTTCACATCTGTTAATGTGAGTTATATTACTGATGTGAATGTTCACATGTGTGTATCATTTAAGTTTATCAACATAATAAGCATATAATCTTCAATGCGAATGATGTTAATGTTCACATCTGTCAATGTGAATCTTCTCAAAGGTCATTTTATGTTGTTGTTAACATTCACATCTGCCTATTATTTAAGTTAACAATGTAAGCATGTAATGCTGAGAAGAATATCCACATGTATTGAAACATAATCAAAATTAAAGTCTAGTGGTTACCAAACATGTGCTTGTAAAGATGAATGATGAATCTTCCAAACTTGGGATGACTAGCCCTTGTAGTTCAAGTAGAATGTCACCATAAGCATCTATCACCTGCAGAACCGGAGGGGTGGCAGTACATTATTTACAGTGTCTTTACTCTGTGTGTGTGAGTGTGTGTGTGTGTATGTGTGTGTGTGTGTGTGTGTTTTGAACATATTTACAGTTGCCATACGTTGTTGGTTATTGATTCTTCCTTGATGAGGTGTATGATGTCATCAAAATACACATGTTTAGTCTTTGAGTCCCCTCGCCACACTAGCAACCTGTGCATTGTGATTACAGAAAATGTTAATGTCAACATTGCACATTTATGAAATGGTCTAATTCATTAAGTATGTATGTAAACTGAACATGATGGAAAAAAAAACAGTTGGGGATATGTAAGATCACTTACTAATCACCGCCGTTCTTGTGCAAATTTTGGACTTTTTGCTTGTTGAGTTTGTTCATGTTAGCCCAGACCTTCAGTTTGTTGTTCAAGGTTAACTTCTTGGACTTTGTTGGCTGCTTTTTTGGTGGTTGCTTGTCTAAATCTTGTGCAATTTGGACTGCATGTGATTGCTGTTCGGCTCCTTCTTTCCCTTTCTTCTGACCAGGCAGGTTGGGGTATTCAAACTCGTCCAACCTATGTTCTTTCCTTACCTTCTGCTTTATACGCTTTACCCTTGATAGGGGGCTGATAATGTGTTCCAATGCTGCAGTGGGATGCTTGTTAAGGCTGCCATGAGCCTTTTGTGCTTCAACTTGAGTGATGATGTGGACAGACTGATCGTCAAAAAGGTCTTGAAGTATTGTTTTTTCACATTCCAAGTTGATGACCAACTTTGTCAGCCGCTGAATTTCTGTATCTTTCCACTCCATGCAAGTCTTCATGTCCATGTCCACATTGGATGAGCCCGATTGGTCAAATAGTTTGGCTTCAAGGGCAGCAATCACCCTTGCCCTCAACTCCCATGATTCTTCCAACTGTTTGTATTTCGCTTCCCATTGCTGCCGTACAAGAGCCTAAGCTTTTTGGTTTTCTTTTATGAGTACTTCCACAATGTCGGGCTCAGTTGGTTGTGCTATGATGATTCCTTTCTCAGCATTGGGGGTGCTACAGTTGGGGTTGATATAATGTCCAACATCATTCAGGTCTGCTGCATCGACAGAAAATGCATCCCTGTCATCAATGCGTTGACTGTCTTTGCTTTGATCCTCATTGCTTTCATCTTTGTTTGCTACTGCATTTGACAAATCTCAGGTTTGGGCTCCACATTCAATTTTGTATGACGGTATATCTTCGCTTCAGTTGGTGATGCCATTAGCTCACCGCCATATACCTGCATTTGAAGACAGTATGTTAGTTAGATAGTTCCTCGTCTCACTATGTGAATAAGCACAATATATTTGGTTGTACTTCTACCTCATTTAAACCTAGCTTAGCCAAAGTTATGGACTTCATGTTGCTATGTAAGGCTGTGAGGTCCCATTTTACGCATCGTGGAATGGCATTGGGGTTGCGGGGTTATAAGATTGTTGTATGCTCACACAGCCAATACTGAAACAAATATCAAATATCAATAATTTGAATGTTCATATGAATTAACATTGATGTGAATGTTCACATCTGCTAATGTGGAGTAATGTTACTGATTTGAATGTTCACATTTCCTAATGTTGAGTGATACTACTGATGTGAATGTTCACAACTATTAATGTGAGTGATATTACTGACGTGAATGTTCACAACTGTTAGTGTCAGTGCTATTACTGATGTGAATGTTCACATTTGCTAATGGTGGGTGATGTTACCGATATGAATGTTCACATCTGTTAACGTGAGTGATACTATTGATGTGAATGTTCACATCTGTTCATGTCAGTGCTATTACTATGTGAATGCTCACATTTTGCTAATGGTGAGTGATGTTACTGATGTGAATATTCACATCTGGTAATGTGAGTGGTACAACTGATGTGAATGTTCATATCTGTTAATGTAAATGTTTACACCAGCATCTACTAATGTGTGTTTGTACATTACTGAAACAGTAATGCGAATGTTTTCATCAATGTTGTCAGCTTCCACACCAAAGCTGAGAAATGTGAACATTCACATCAGAGTGTCCAGAGCCCATATATGTTCATATTAAACATAGAATAAGTTTTATGAGATTTACCATTAACAACATCACACATCCGGTGACTTGTCCTGGTTTTCCACAGTTTTGGCCCAATGAACCCATCAAGGTTGCCCGGATGCTCTCAGCCCAATCATACTCGATCATCTTGTCTAATGGGTCCATGTATGAGTAGAAAACCCATCCAATTGTTTCTCCGGATGTAGAAAAGAATAGCTTGACGCATGCATACATGCAAACTAATCTTGCGACCTCCTCATCGTCATGTTTTTTTGTGCCCTTCAATGCTTCCCTCGTATTTTGGCAGCACTTAGCAGCACTTAACCGACTAACATCCTTGCACATTCGGTGTATGATGCCGGTTGTTGGTTTTGCTAGATAGAGCTCATATGCTTATCTATTAATGTGTTGACAGAGCTCATATGCTTGTCATTGGAAGTGTGATAGTGCTCATATGCATATCTGTGGAAGTGATGATATAGCTTGTATGCTTATCTGTTGTTGTGTGATATAGCTAGTATCCTTATCTATTATGAAATGGAAAGTGTTTGATATGAGTCACTGTCTCATATGAGTTGTTTGGCCAGGTTCTGAGCCATGGTTGCAAATTTGAGAATTGAAAGGAATTGGAAAATGAGTTGTAATATGGACTTGTATGTCATGAAAATGTAAAGTGTGATAAGGGAAAGTATCAATGTTGACCATCTATCAACTGCTAATCTTTTAGTCATTGTTCATATTTGGTTTAGTATGTTTCTGCTGGGCTGTGGCTCACCCTATATGGGAATATCATTTTCAGGTACAGGTAGCATGCCACCTCCAAGGTCATAGCTTGGAAGGCTAGAGGCGGACACACTTTGTTGTTTTATTTTTGATGTATTACATGTAAATTCAAGCCAAGGGCTTAATGTGTAAATGAGTTAGTACTCTTTTGTTGTAACCAAGTGTTAACTTGGAAAGCTGTAAGCCTTTAGGGCATTTGCTTTTGTCGTTAACATGTAATACTTTTTGTAATGAAATTCTGATAAATGAAAGAATGTGGAACTTTTACATATCAATGTATGTCTTTATTGGTGGGTTTAATGTTGTTTTTTTTTAGGACGTGAGAACTGTTGAGTGAAGTTTGGGGGTTTTGACATTAATGTGAACATTCACATGATGTGAATGTTCACATCAGTGTGTACTACTCTAAGTTTACCCAGTACTCAATAGTAATGTGAATGTTGAGATCATTCATGTGTGCAAAAACAAATCCCGAAAACTACAACAATTAGAGGGCAATGTGAATGTTTACATGGGTGATCACATTATGTAATAATTTGCTAAAAATCATAGGGGGGAACCAACTGCACCAAACAACACCCAACAACACAAACAAGTCCAACATTGATGTCACACTATGAATATTTACATCACATTCCATCACATTGTTGAGTGAAGTTTGGGGGTTCTGTGGACATAAAAAATGAACAATATCAACAGTGATAGTAATATGAACATTCACATCAGTGTCTACTACTGTAAGTTTAGCCAGTAATCAACACTAATGTGAATGTTCACATCATCTATTTTTACAAAATTAATTCCAAAACATCTATGTTTACAAATTCAAATCTGAAAACCAGAAGGTGTATGTATACATCAATGATGACATTATGATTGAAAAGCAGAAGGTGGAATGGTATTCCTTACTTTTGTTCGTCATGGTTGGTGGGTATGGATCACACTCAGTGGATAAAATAAACTCAATGGGGCGACAAGAATCTTCGAACGACGAAGCACCCTCCTTCCGATGTGAAGCTTCGCAGTGGTGAGACGAAGAGGAATCTAGGGTTACTGGAGGCAATATCAGTATCGTTTCGTCGATTGAGTTTTTGTTTTGGAAATTTTGTGGATTGAATATTTCGAATATGAATGGGTTTTTGCAGAATCGGTTTCACGCGGGAGAGGCGGTATCGTTTCGTGGATTGAGTTTTTGTTTTGGAAATTTTGTGGATTGAATAGTTGGAATAGGAATGGGTTTTGCGGAATCGGTTACATGCAGGAGAGGCGGAGAGGATTATTTCGTCCTTTTACAATTAATGGACCTAATGGAATATTCAGAAATAGTTTGGGTTTTATGGAACAAAACAGTTATAAATAGGATTTATCAAAAAATGGCCCTTTTGAAAATATTGGATTAAAAACATATTGTGCTTTCAATACATTTAGGCCAAGTTTGACAACTCTTAAAAAATTCAAAAAGTCAAAAAGTCACTATCCTATTTAAATCACATCATCATCACCTCTCTAACACATCACTTCAAACCTAACCCAAACCCAACCCATATTTCATAAAAAGTCAAAAAGTGCACTTATTTAATTTTCCCAAACTTGGCCTTAAAAAAATGAATCATTTTGATTAATTTATTATTAAATTCATAAAATTGAAATTTTCAAAACAAGTTTGATAGTAAATAAATTGAAATACATGGTTGGGATCAAAAGAGGAAATGGACGGCTAAGATCAAGGCCACTGTGGGCGCGGGGAGCCGTGTCATTTACATGCGATCAAGAAAATGACCGAGCTTTTGGAATTCCAATCGGCGATCTCCGATGGCTTCGAGAGCTAAAGTGCCAGTGTTCACCGATACTAATTTGGACACTCGCATTGCCTTCGATGTCTCACCAGAAATTACAGCTCGAGATTTCAAGAGTAGGTGTTTGCCCTTCGCTCTGTTATATGTTGTGAAAAAACAATTCTTTATGACATTCGGTGATTTGGGTTGTTGGATTTATGCTTCTATTTTTCGTTGTGTTTTCTAAAATCAACAAAGCATAGCATGAACTGTTCTGGGTTCTCAAAATTTCTGTATGTAAATTGATGATCTCAGTGGCAATGGGTGTTTGATTTTTTTCTCCTCTGTGTGTGCGGTCTTTAAGCCCTGTTTGGTTTTGGCTGTGCTTTTGTTTTCTGTCTGAGTAAGTGATTTCCCTCCATTCCAGTTCTGTTGCCTGCCCATCTTTGTGTGTGTATTTGTGAAAAATCAGTTCTTTATGACATTTGATGATATGGGTTCTTGGATTTATGCTTCTATTTTTCGTTGTGTTTTGTAAAACCAACGAAGCATAGCAAGAATTATTCTGGCTAGTCAAAGGTTTCTGTGTCTAAATTGATTATCACAGTGGGTGTTTGATTTCCCCACTTTGTGTCAGTGTGTTTGTGTGTGGTCTTTAACGGCCTGTTTGGTTTTGGTTGTGGTTGTGTTTTTGTTTTCTGTTCGAGTAAGTGATTTCCTTCCATTCCAGTTTCTGTTGCCTGCCCATCTTTGTGTATGTGTGTGTATTTGTGAAAAATCAGTTCTTTATGACATTTGGTGAGATGGGTTGTTGGATTTATGCTTCTAAAACGATGATCAGTGTATTTGTGCGGTCTTTAAGGGCCTGTTTGGTGTTGGTTGTGCTTTGGTTTTCCGTTGCGTGCCCCTCTTTGTGTGCGTGTGTGTGCATATTGTGAAAAATCAGTTCTTTAAGACATATGGTGATATGGGTTGTTGGCTTGGTGCTGCTATTATTCAATTGGTTTTGTAAAACCACGAAGCATAACATTAAATTTTTTGGGTTGTCAAGGTTTCTTTGTATAAAATGATGACCAAAATGGATGTTTGATTTTTTTTTTTCCCCTTTGTGTCAGTGTGTTAGTGTGGGCTTTAAGGGCCTGTTTGGTTGTGTTTTTGTATTCTGTTTAAGTGCTTTTCCTTCATTATAGTTTCTGTTGCCTCCCCATCTTTGTGTGTGTGTCACATATTGGTGAAAATCAGTTATTTACGACATTTGGTGATATGGGTTGTTGCCTTGGTGCTTCTCTTTTCCATTTGGTTTTGTAAAACCTCGAAGCATTGCATGAACTTTTCTGGGTTGTCACTTGTCAAGGTTTCTGTATCTAAAATGATGACCAAAATCGGTGTTTTTCATTTTTCCCCATTGTGCCAGGGTGTTTGTGTGTGGTCTTTAAGGGTCTTGTTTGGTTGTGTTTTGTTTTCTGTTTAAGTGCGTGCTTTCCCTTAATTCTAGTTAACGAAGTGGTGAAGAGTTCATAAACACCACAACAAGTACCGCTCAGCTTGCTGAATTATATTGTGATAAATGGTAAGTAATCTGCCCGACCATTGTTTTGTAGGAGACCTTGAGAGAGCACACTTGATTTGCTTCCCTAAACTTGGAGCGATCAGGGTAAATGGATTAATGGTATGTTATTAGATTGTTACTTCCTTTTCTTGAGTACCAATAATGTACCTGGCACTCTGTTTGTTTCAACAGAAAACATATTTTGAAAAGTGGTTTCCTCATTTTCTATCGTTTAGTATGACAGAAAATGAAAGTCAACATCAAACATGCATATTTGGGTGGGAAATGTTTCTCACTTTTAAAAGAAAAAACATTTTCCAACCTAAAGTCTTACCAATGCCACCATCCCAACACCGTTGCCACCTCCTCCACCACTAGCACATTAGTTTCAAAAGTTTTCCGTATAAAAAGTTAAATGTTTTCCACTGAAATAAACAGAGCGTGAGTTATCTAATATGCTTTCAATGCCACTCATGCTTCAAATTGAGCACTCTTCCTTCTTGTTGCCTCTGGCAGGTGAAGCAAAGGTCATGCTTCTACCACCTTCCTGACTCGTTGCCAATGAAGCATGCTTTCCAGGGTTTAAGAGGAACATGGTTTATTCACGCGGAAGCACATCCTTGGAGTGATTCTAATGAGTCAGGTTTATCAGAATGTGTTGTTGCAGAAATCAGAGATAGAACTTCTAATAGTATAAAGGTTACTGATTCTCTTGAACCTAAAATCCCGGTGTCAAGTGCGAACAAGAATCATGTGAACTGCAAAAGAAAGAAAAATGGGATTAAAAGAATTCCATACGCGAAAGTTGCACTCCAAGCGATTCTAGCAAACGCCCACCGTTCAAAAAAGAAGAAAAGGAAGAGGGTAACGGAAAATTGCTCTCTACATTGTACAGTGAAAGGGCTCGAGAAGGGCTGCCTTAGTAGAAATGGAGGTGACACTGCTGAAGAGAGGGAATTGAGTGCAATATTGGAGAACCATAGCGAGACATTATCAGAATCGTTATCCGTTTCAGGCATCATCAAGAAATACTTTTCTGATTACGAGGAGGTGAGTTTAAGGTCCAATTTTACATCTAGAGCAAACCAAAGTCAACGTAAAAGCAATTGACGACTAGAACAGATAGTAATTGCTCGACGTCAAAAGTTAGTGGAATTTCACAGTTTACGCCCAAGACTCCTCCAAGAGTGTTGCCTTTTCCGTTGTCTACTGATCTTAGTTCCAAAACCTCAAGGAATATAGTTAAGAGAACTGGAGTTGGAAATCGTCTTGTTGTGGCCTCAAATAATCTCGGGAGATCTGTAAAATCTGCAACGGGTCTCTGTAGATTCGGAGATCGAAAGTTATCAGTGCCCAAATCTAGTTCCTTTGTTAGAAGTATAGTTTTTGAAATTAGTGACAGTGATGAATGAATAATGTTGAGGTAACACTCTCTGGTTAGACTCTCGTGATATGGATACACTTCTGCGGAGAAGTTAGACATTGCAGCAAGCCAGTTACTAGTGCTTCAGTAGCTGAAAAGCTTGGAACTTCGAGGGCTTCCATGATTCAGTCTGTAAAATTTTACGTTCATTGACACGATTGGGACCCTTTTCAGGTTCAGTTTTATATCCGGATATTGTTCGTATGAGGTAAATGATGTTGACAAGGGTACTAAAAAAGTCAATTATATATGACTTAATGCTCTACAGCCAATGTAGGCTGCTAGGCGGAACACATCAGTTTTCGCAATGATGCTTTGGGTTGAGAAGGAATTCCCCAACCCTGTTTGTGTAACCATTTTTTGCTTTGAATCGTCTAATATGTTGTCTTTGATCTATGATTCACGGATATGAACAAGACAAGTATTGTAGCCAAAGCAATGTAGTTTGGATAATGTTTTGTTGAGGTTTGAGTCTCCAGGTTGTTGGTATGAAATGTAGGAAAATGTTGAATGTTTCTGGGAAATTTTTGAAATCGGTCTGAAAATTTCTCGTGTATTTGAGTTTTAAAGTGTTTTGAGTTTGTGTGGAATAAGAAGGATCACAAGTGTGCATCATCTTGCAAGACCATTTTATGTTGCAAGCCAATTTTAAGAACATATTTGATTGTGTTTTCCCGATTCTCATATTTGTTCGTATCCATAGTTAGAACACCTTGTTTGTATTTAAATTTACGAATAAATGTGAGGAGTCGGGATTTCAGTCATTGAAATATTAACGGAAATTGGTCAATTGTTAGTAAGATCGTTAATTTGAAATTTTGATCTACCAATTTGTTCATTTGAAATTTTGTCGACTCCTAAAATTATATTTCAACCTAATTGGTTTAGTTTGCTCTGATTTTAAACAAAATTTAATTGAGTTGATTACAACACACCCTCCAAATAAAAATAAGTAGCAAGAATCAATTATGATACCTTTTTTCTTTCAAAAGTTTGTGAAGCTAATGGAAGGAATAATCTGACTTTCGGGTAACCTTTTTTCTTGCACCCTTATGAAAGAAAAATGAAGAATCAAGTTACCCCAAGGAACAAGAAACCAGGTGATTGGTTGGATCAGATTTTAAATGCTTTTCAGATTTTTTCTCTTATAGTTAGATCATGTTTGGCAGTCTACATTTTAATTAAAAAAATTAAAATATTCCATCATATACATTAATGATTTTTTTTTGGTTGGTATATCTATTTAACTAACAAAAATTATTCTAAATACACTAATTTTTTTTATCTTATAAAAAATATATCAACTTTTTTTTAATTGACAACCATGAATACGTATGAGCATGTGGGATGCCTTTTAAAGTTTAAAAAGGTGTTTTTAATCAATTAAAAGTAAATGTTTACTTTTATTACTCAAAAAAAAAAAAAAAAGGAAAAAAAAGAAGTGAATTACATTGATTAGTGAATGGTGGGTTGATTTCACATATTAATCAGATTAGTGAGTCGAATATCGAATTATCAAAAATTATTTACATATTAAAATTTATATATAACATATAAAATTTAGCATAACTATAAAGATCTTTTTAGTCTAACCAATACTAATGAAATTAATACAAATGGTAAATAAATACATAATACTCAATGATAAAATACATATTCTAGAATAAAAGATATGATACTATTATTTTTTATTTCTTTATATGACTAGTGAATAATTGATGAAAGTATAGCAATTAAAGTGTTGTGTAATTAAATTTTTAAATAAATATAATATAATTATGTTAAATTTGTAAGGTTCAATGTAATTATTCTAAAATTCTGGAACTTAGTATAATTTATCAAAAACATGACCCAAGTTTGTAGCGGGAATTCTGTAAATATACACTACTTCGCTACTAAGCAATGCGCGTCATCACTTTATCTATAGCTTTTTAATTTTAATTTAAATTTTTAACACTTTATATATACCCTTTAAGGCTAAGTTTGGGAAGTTTCAATGTAATTATTCTAAAATTCTGGAACTTAGCCTCCGTTTGGGAAGTGGGTTGGTTTTTTGGCTTTTTGGCTTTTTGGCTATTTTAGCCTGGTTTGGGAAGGGTTTTTTGGCTTTTTGGCTTTTTTGACTTTTTTTGTGAGAGAGGATTGTAATGATTATGGGTTGGATTTGATGTTTTGTTTTTTGTGGCTAAAATATTTTTTATTTCTTTATATGACTAGTGAATAATTGATGAAAGTAGAACAATTCAAGTGTTGTGTAATTAAAATTTTAAATAAATATAATATAATTATGTTAAATTTGTAAGGTACAATGTAATTATTCTAAAATTCTGGAACTTAGTATAATTTATCAAAAAAATGACCCAAGTTTGTAGCGGGAATTCTGTAAATATACACTACTTCGCTACTAAGCAATGCGCGTCATCACTTTATCTATAGCTTTTTAATTTTAATTTAAATTTTTAACACTTTATATATACCCTTTAAGGCTAAGTTTGGGAAGTTTCAAAAAAGTTAAAAAGTCAAAAAGTTATTCAAAAAGTTAAAAAGTTATCATTATTCATCAAAAGTCAACAATTACGACTGCACAACTCCCAATACTAATTTTATCCTACACATTAATTTATACAATTTTTTAATACATATTTTTTCACAAAAAGTCAAAAAGTTAACCCAAACATTCATATTTTCAACCTCAACTTTTTAGTCTAAAAAGACAAAAAGTGCACTTATTTATGACACCCCAAACAACCCCTAAGAGTATGTTTGTTTTTGAAAGGTAACACAATGGGATTGGATTATTAGTTCGGATGGGTTAATGGTCCGTTATTTGGTATGAATTTTTTAGTCCGGACTAATAATTCCTACGAACTATTAATCTCATATTTGTGGGACTATGCTATCCCATGGGGGGTGGGATAGAAACCATGAGATAACTCATCCCATGAGATTAGCTATTAAAATTACATTTTTACCTTCTGGCATTTAATTATGTATTATATTTAGTAAAATTCAATAAAATTTAAATGTTTCAATTTAAAAATACAAATAATTTTATTTAATTTTTATTTTTGTTTTATTTATTTAATTTTTTAAAATAATTTTTTATAGATATTTTATTAATGTTTTATTTTAAAATTTTGTTTATATTTTATTTAATTTCATTATTTAAATTTTAATAGATGTTTTATTTTATTTCATTATGAAATTATTATTATTAGTTAAAATAAATTTATTTAAAATTTTAATTAAAAAAATAACATATATTTTTATTGATATTTAATTTATTTAATTTTTTAAAAATAAATTTATTTAATTGTGCAAAAAATAAAATAAATTTTTTTTTATTTAATCTAGCTAAAAATAATTAAAATATTGAAGCTATGTTTAATATTGCTATTACTTAGTAAATAATTAAAAAGGATAAAATAGTTATTTGAATATTTATCCTTCTCCATAATATCCCAAACAAGCATTGGATAACTAAAAATAGTCCAATCCAGACATCTAATCCCATGACTAAACAAAAATAGGATATAAATCCAGTCCAACCAAATAGCCCGAGGACAATGTATCCCAGGACTAATAGTCCGATGGATTATAATCCCGTCTTATCCAGTCCGTTCAAACAAACACACCCTAATAGTAAACTGATATTAAATGTTTATATTTATTTTTTCAACCTTACTATTTAATACCTTTCTAAAAAAAAAAAAAAACCCTTCTTATTTAATAAATAAATAAAATATTTTTAATTATTTTATATGTTGATTTTATCAACACATTTAGATAAAAAAATATATATTTCTTATTTTCTTTTCTTTTTTAAAATGTTAAATGGATAAATGCTTTTTAAAATTTTAAAGCTAAAATCAAAACCTGTTATTCTAACGTGTTTTAATCCATAACATATAAAATTTTCAAGATGAAATAAATTAATTTAGTCACTACAATTTTTAGGGGATTTTTTTTTAGGGTCCCTGGTATTAAGACTTTATAGTATAAAAGACTTCTAATATTTTCATAATGTCTAAGGTCCCTCAATTTGATCCAGATAAATTATGGTCCAGATAAATTTCAGTCCTGAGAAATTCCAACCCAGAGAAAATTCGGTCTAGAGAATTTCTCTCCAGAGAAAATTTGATCCAGAGAAATTCTTTGGATTCCAGTCGAGATTTTCTCTGGATTTTCAGAGAATTTCTCTGGTTTTCACAATTCACAAGAATTTCTCTGGATTTAAAAAAGAAAAAAGGCCTGAGATTGTGTACTTCAGAGTCAAACAAAGTGGGTTGTTGGTGGTGGAAGAGAAGTGGTGGTGGTTGTGGAGGAGGCGATTGTGGGTGGTTGGAGATGGAGCCAAAACTGTGGTTCAAGAAAGAAAAGATTGACTCGGTTCATGAATCATACTCTTCATCTCCACCACTTGAAGATTGCATATTCACACTATTTTCAGAATCCATTTGCTACCAAAAAAGTGATATAAAAAATGATATATTAAATAAATAAATAAAGGGCCAAATCTACTGAGAGATGGTTGTAGTTCCAAAAAAAGAAGAGAATTTGAGAGAGAGCACAGAGAAAATTCACATAGTGATCACAACCAAAGGAATTTCATACAGCCAGAGAAATTTCAAGGATGGTCAGACACCTGAGTAGCATGCTTTGTTTGCCTTCACTCTTTTCCAGAGAAATTCCCGAAAAGGCTGTTCCCACTAAATTCATAACTACTGAATGCAAATCTGATGTAGAAATATAATATAAAAGATACAGAACAAGTCACTTACAGTGGAACCACTAGAAATTAAAGATGCGTCATACAAAAGATCAATAGCTCTCAAAGCTTCTTCATCATTTGGGTCACTCTTGAATGCAGCCTGTATCATTCACAAATAGAAAGTGAAAAAAAGAAAAAAAGAAAAAAAGAAAAGAAAAGAGAGAGAGAGCTTGCAATTAGCTAGGGTTATATTGGTACAACGAATAATGAAAATGGGAATTTTCTAATTATTGACCAAATCGCCATACATTCAAGGTGTTAATGATTGGGTGTTGAGGATTGATCTCAAACACCCTTCTTCCTCTCATGACTAACAAATTTATTGAGAACTACAGATGCACAAGGCTAGTGGTTGAGACAATGTTTTATATTTTTTATTGAAAGTTGTGAATGATTTTATGCATCTGTTCTTCGCTCTCTTCAATAAAATTTCATTCTTACATTTTGCCATGATTTCATTTACACTTTCATTTATACTTCCAGTTATACATTTGTTGAAATAAACTGATCATAGGGATATATGTAAGTAACTAAGCATAATTAACAAAAGTTTCTGTAACTTACCCAAATCATTGTGATTCATTTTGTTTCCTAAATGAAAGTGTTTCTCTGTTGAACAATGTTCCCATTAGGTCCCTCCAAGCACAGACGGAAGCATGTGAAGCCAAGACTAAAGCAGATTCGTCAAAAGCACAGAGAAGCGAGGCATCCAGTTCCAAGAGTGATTGCTTCATCCCGTAGAATAGCATGGGCAGCCACCAGGCTATTTGAGATCCTCAAGTTTGGACGCGGATGAGTTCTTGACTTTGCTGCATGGGTCGGATCCGGTGAAGGTGGAGCTCAATCAGCTGGAGAATGAAGTCAGTGGTGAGGAATAAGAGTTGATTTGGACAAGTATAAGAATGGAGAAGTTTAGAGAGAGAGAGAGAGAGATGAGTTTTGATTTGGTAATGTCAAATTTCTCTATGATATGTTTAGGGACTTTAGACATCAAAAAATAATTTTGTGGATCTCTTCCATTACGAAAAGTGGGAGAGGGACCCTAGACTAATTTTCCATAATTTTTAATATAAGTTTAAACGTGCTTTAATCCATAACATCTAAAATTTTCAAGATGAAATAAATTAATTTAGTCACTATAATTTTTAATATAAGTTCAAATTAGCCAAATTTATAACCACGGTCATTAATGTTTGTATTTTTATTATCTTGACTCTCGTAATTTTGCTAATACTATTGTTAACCATTGTCGATGTGCTTAAATTATTGAAATATATACCCCAAAAAAAAAAGACTCACTATTAAAAAATTTAAATTATTCAACATTTTAGATGTAATTATCCCGTCTATTAAATTATTCAATATTGAATTTATAATTGTGTGAGCTAAGTATGAAAATTGCACATTCGGCAAACAAAACACTTTAAGGCCTAATGCTAATAGGCCCAAGTCCAACCAAGCCTACCGGATTATATGAGATCACAGCCGAGTAAATCCTTACGCTGACTAGATGGCACGCCGAAAAGATATTACGCCAATTGAACATTTATGCCGAATACTATATACCATTCAGCAGATATCCCAATCAAGGTAGGCCTAATCTATCATTTTCCAGAGATTTAGGGGCAGTTTGGCAACAAGCTAAAAAAGCTAGCTTTTTGGTTTTTTAAGCATCGTTTGGCAACCGAATTTTTTAGTCAAAAAGTTACTAAATTAGCCAAAAAGCCAACAACTCATACAAAAAAGTCAAAGATTCTACTTTCTCTATACTTTTTGTACATATTTTCGTAAAAAGCCAAAAAGTCATTCCAAACATACTAGTTTTTTTTAGTTCATATTTTAGCCAAATAGCAAAAAAGTTACTAAATTAGCATGTTCCCAAACGGGGCCTTAGTTTTTTTAGCAAAAAATGTTAGTTTTTTTTGGCCAAAAAAACCAAAAAACCTACATTTTTACCAACTTCCCAAAATACCACTTAATAGGAGTATGTTTATATTTCAAGATTACTGAATAATTTTCCCTTCTAACATTATGATGACGAAGAAGGAAAGATTAAACAACGTATGAAATATCTATATCAAATCTCTATATAAAGAATGTAAATAGGAGAACAGCGGTATGCACTTTCATTGGACCTTATTTCATTTCCAAAATATCTAACTCATTTTCTTTCATCAAAAATCTGATTTAATCATCGGAGTGCTAATTCCGACAGTCCCGACCAAAGTGTCTCTTGTTTCAAGTACCACAACAAAGATCAATCAAAGACCTGTTTGGAATAAAATAATATTATAGAATAACTTTTTACAATAATAATGAGATTTCACCTCACTTATAAGGTTGATTATCCAAATAATTGGCAATGCATATGAGATAAAATCAAATAAAATACAATGTGTGATATAATTTTTTTTAATACTTAAATCATAATCTTTACATAATTGTGATTTACTTAAATAAAAACTAGTTTGATGGATAATATAAAAATGATAAAAATTCATACCTTTAATATTTTTATTTTTATTTTTTGAAGTGAAAATATAAAAAAATTATATGTAATTTGTCAAATTAGTTTATATATTTAAAATTTCAATATTATTTTATTTGATCGAATGTTCAATATTACATACCACCGAGTGGTGGCCCAATGGTGAAGGCCTTGCCTTCCACCGCCATGAGTCAAGTTCGACTCTTGGACTGTGAAAATTTTGAATTTTTCAAGGGTTCTCTTTGGCCTCGTTTGGGAAGTGGCTATTTTAGTTTTTGGTTATTTTCGTAGGCTAAAATTTTTGTGTTTGGGAAGATGATTGAATTTTTTTGTGGTTGGATGTGATGTTTGTGAGAGAAAAGTGAAATGATTATGGGTTTGATGCGATATTTTGTCTTATTAGCTATTTTAGCCTATTTTGTCTTTTTGTGATTTTTAGCCTAAACTAGGCTATTTTTTTTCTTCCCAAACACCCCAAGACCTCGCGCTATATTCTGTTTCGATCGAATCTTGGCCATGGTTGTCCGATCAAATCTTAGGTGTTGTTTGGGATGACCTAAATAAGTGCACTTTTTATTTTTTTACGAAAAAATGTACAGAAAAATAGAAAAGTGATGTGATAAAAATAAAAATAAAAAGATAAAAAGATGAATTATTTTATAATTGCCAAACTTGACCTTAGTCATGGTTAGGGCTGGTGATGCACTCTACTGGTGCCTTAGCCGTGAATCCCTCCGTCTAAATTAAGGTCAAGTTTGACATCCTCCAAAAAATTTAAAAAGTTAAAAAGTCACTATCTTATTTAAGTCACATCATCTTATTTAAGTCACATCACTTCTCTAATACATCACTTCAAACCCAACATAAATCTAACCCATATTTCATAAAAATTCAAAAAATACACTTATTTAGTCTTCCAAACCTTGGCCTAAGTTAAATCAGACAGTCCCAAACCACCGGCCTGGACCTCCGGAGGTTGACACCTCATAACCTTATTTTTTTTCTCGATAAAAAAAAAAAAAAAAATGTTCAATATTACATATACTCCTTGAGCTTCCAGAGTAATTATTTTCCCTTTATTCTCACTTTCTTTCTCCCTAAATGTTCTTCTCCCTCTGTATTTTCTCGGAAAACCCTAGAAAATTTTGATCTCTAAAACCTCTTCATCCTCTATATTCAATCCACTTACATCTCTCTAGCATTCCTAATCTCAATTCTTAATTTTCCGATCCATTCTACTTCATTTTTACTCACTCCGATCAGTCTAAGCTTTCTTCATCAACCACAGTTTTGAATTCGGTCGATTCTCAGCGGAGCATCGATCGATTCGCCGTCGAATCTTCATACTGTGCAATGGTTTCAGTTGGTTGATTTCAAGATGAAGTTCAAGAGGAGGAGGGCTGTAGAAGTGGTACGATACATTTAAAGTTTATCTAACAATTTAAAGTTTTGTTTATTTATTTATTATTTTTATGTTGATTGTGTTCATCTGTTTGTCACCTAAAAGTAATTCATATAGTTATTAATGATCGGAAAAGCAAAGCAATTGACTAGTTGGATGGTTTAGAAATATTTTATTAATTGGTTTTGGAACATGAAATTGTAGATTGTTGCATAAAGAGACTACAATTGTTCAATGCTGATTTTGAAGTTGATTGCTTTTAGTGTCATATACTGCTTGATTGTGTTCATCTGTTTGTCACCGAAGCATAAAAGTAATTCATATAGTTATTAATGATCGGAAAAGCAAAGCAATTGACTAGTTGGGTGGTTTAGAAATATTTTATTAATTGGTTTTGGAACATGAAATTGTAGATTGTTGCATAAAGAGACTACAATTGTTCAATGCTGATTTTGAAGTTGATTGCTTTTAGTGTCATATACTGCCATGTCTATTATGTTCAAAGTTGTGTGACTTGTGTGTGTGTGTCTCTCTCTCTCTCTCACACACACACACACACACACACAAAACTGGTATGTCAATATTGCTTCTCTTTTTCTTTTATTCCTATATGTATATATGTTTTAAATCTTGGAATATTGCTATGGAAAAATACAAAAAAACATGTGGTTAGATGGCATTGTAACATAAATCAGAATTTCTATTTGATTTTCTGGAACTAAAAGAATTTAGCTAGTTTCTTTACTATATCTGTCCACAATTTTTAATTTTTTATATTTTTAAACGGAAGTGTTTTGATTATCTGAAGGACGAGAATGCCCTCTCTATATTTTTTTTTCCCTTTTTTGTGGGGTTTGGTGATGTGGAATATGATTAAGAACTTTTATGGGTTGGTGGAATCTGATGGATGTTAAATTTTGGTGGCATTTGTTTGTTTGATAAATGAGGTTTCTTGGACCTGAGGTAAGCAACAGCGGAGTAGTTCTTTCTGTTGAAAATCAAGACTCTGCAATTTATGGAGAAAATCTCTCTGTTTACGTTAGCACGAAGAGTGGACTAGTTCTTTCATTAGATAATTGATGTTTTACCCTGTTTAGCCATTACGTCTGCATGTCAGGTCAGTTTAGTGATTTATTTTTATAATTAGGTTTTTTTTTTTTTTTTACAAAAAAAAAATGTACAGAAAAATAAAGAGATAATGTAACTCAAATGAGTTAATAAGTCAATGAGCTAGCTTTTTTTTTGATGGCTCCGCAAAGGTTTGAGACAGTGGTGTTTAATAACTTAATTCAACATTTAAAATTAAATGTATTAAGAGTGAGCAATTTTCCCAAGAATGTAGTAAGTAAATGCATACTAATCAATGTGCCAGATAATAACGAAGAAAAGTGAGAATCCCAAGAATAGGAAATTGAAAATGAAAGACGAGAAGAATTTCGAGGATATATAAATGACCTTCCATAGCAACAAATTTTTTGGTCGATGAGCATGCATTTTCATTGTTATCTAATATTAATTGAATAAATACATTAAAAAAAATGTAACAGTAATAAGAAACCCAAACTTAAAGGTTAATGTATTGCTTTGAGTCAAGAGATCGAGCTTTTGTCTAAGCCATCACCACCTCCAAATCACCCACCTAAACCAAGGGTTCATAGTACAAGCTTTGTAAAGATCTTTTTGAAAGGCTTTAATATTGATCCTCAATTTAACGACAAACCTTGCCAAATTAAAGAATAAAAAGAATTAATATTCCCACATTTTCTGCCCATTCCTACCGGTACTTTTGATTCCCGAATGTCTTGGGGTAACCATGGAATTCCTGTTGAACTTTATTTTTAAGTTGCAGGATATGAGAATTGGCTTGTAAGTTGGGGCTTGGTGTTTTATGTCCAAGTCCCCGATTCTTTTCTTTGTGACCACCCTTGACCTTGAGCAACTGTAAAAATCTGGTACAATTTTATGTTCTAAATGTTAAAAGATGTTTATGATCTATTTGAATCATTAGTAATAGAACAAGCAAATCTGTTATGGGTTATTGGTGGGGGTTTTTTGGGATTTATATGGGATATCATATCACAAATAGGTGAGGGTGATGATATTATGAGATGGAAGAGGTCGAGGTCAAGTTTGAGTAGCTCTGAGTGAAATCATTGTATGAGGCTTTGGTGGGCATGAGAGACTCTTTTTCCTGGGAAGGGGATTTACTCTTCTAAGTCGTCTTCCAAGGTAGCTTTCTTTTTGTTGAAGGCAGGGAAGATTTTTATGGTTGATAATTTAATTTCGAGATGTGAAATCATCGTAAATTAGTGAGGATAGCTAATTAGCCAATCGTCTTCTATCCATTGCCTAGTAGAGAGGGAATTTTCGGTTATGATTTTAAGCAAGCATATATGTGGTGCATTGGGTGATCCCAAGTTGTGGCTGACCTTATCCATGGTTGGAAGGCGGAGAGTGGGGAGAGAAGGAAGAAGATTTGGTTTTTTGTGCGTTTAGGTTTGTCCAGTATTTTAAAAGGTGCGCGGCGCAACCTTGCACTTCAAACAGGTCGAGGCGAGGCGCAATACGTAAGGCGCAACTTAGGTGTAGAGGCGAGGGCTTTTTTTTGAGGCGCGAGGCGCGACTTCATGGGTTTTACCTATTTTTCTACTCCAACTGTTGATTAAGTGTTTTTTTGTGGGCATACCCACAGGGAATCAAAGGGTGTGTTTGGTTTGTGTTTGCAGAGTAATTTTTGAGATGAAAAAGTACAAAAACTTGGTTGGTTTGTCTTTTTCTAAATATTCCCTCTAAAATAACTTTGGTTTTTTTTTGTAGAGTAGTTTTTGAGATAAAAAGTACAAAAACTTGTTTGGTTTGTCTTTTTCCAAATATTCTCTCTAAAATAACTTTGATTTTTTTTGTAGAGTAGTTTTTGAGATAAAAAAGTACAAAAACTTGTTTGGTTTGCCTTTTTGTAGAGTAGTTTTTGAGATAAAAGTACAAAAACTTATTTGGTTTGCCATTTTTGCAAACATATTTCAAAAGTAATCCTGGAAATTGGATAACCAAACACATTTGTGAGAGTTTTTTTGGAAAAATCTGTTTGGTTTGATTACTCATAAAAAGTATTTGTAGAGTATATTTCTAAAAAAATTCTCCTAAAATCAAACCAAACAAGGCTAAAATTCTTTAATATAAAATGACCAAACGTGGTCAAAAGAGAGTAGAAAGTGATTAAAAAAAATCCTAGTGGAGAAGATAAAAAAAGCAATCAAAAAATGAGAAGACGCTTCTTCTCTTCTTCTTCTTCGGTGGTTCTCTTTCTCTTCTTCTCTTCTTCGATGGTTCTCTTGGTTGGGTTATCTCTCTGCCTCTTGTTTTTCTTTCTTTATTTTTCTTCTCTTCTTCTTTTCTTCTTTTCTTCTTCGATGGGTTCTCTTCATGGGCCATCCTCAATTTTTTCTTTATTTATTTTTCTTCTCTTCTTTTCTTATTTTACCCCTCCCTTCTTCTTTTCTTCTCCTGCTTCTTCGTTGTATTATCTCTCTGTTTTTTTCTTCTCTGTTATGCTTGCTTTATGATTTTTAGAATTATATATATATTTGTTATGTTGAAAATTTTGCCTATTTTATAATTTTTTTGTTCTTCTACTGCTTGCGCCTCGCTTTGGTGAAGCACGCGCCTCGCCTCACGCTTAGGCTATTAGAGACCTTATCGTCTCGGTGCGCCTAGAGCCATTTAAAACACTGGGTTTGTCTCTTTTTTATAGTTGCTGTTCTGTGGAATGTTATTTCATACTCTGACCATTTTTTGGATTTTGTAGTGTCTTTGAGAAGCTAGGTGTTGCAAGTGAGGTTTGGGTGATTTTTATTTTTTTTATAGGTGTATACAAGTGGCAGCTTCTTTGTTTTTTGGATATCTAGCATCTCCTTTTGGTGGCTTATCAATAAATTTTTCTTTCTAAAAATATAAAGCATTTTTCTTGTTACTTTAGGTTTTTGCACTGGCACACTGATTGGGGCAGTAATCATTTAAGGAGATTTATTTTGGGATATATAATGTAAATTTGGTTATATAGGTAATCAAGTTCACGATTGCTTGCTCTCTCTCTCTCTCTCTCTCTCACACACACACACACACACACACACACACACACACACACACACACCCCTTCCTCTTCACATTGTATGGAAAATAAATTCACAATTATTTGTTGTTTTTTAATTTTTTTCCCACTTGCTGTTTTGTCTATTAAGTTAAGCTTCATGTATATCTTAGCAAGGTTTTACTAATGCTTTGAAGTGTGGTGATTGTCTTTTTGTTCTTTTGTGTCAGCCTCCAAAAATTAAATCCTTCATCAATGGTGTTATAACTACTCCACTTGAGAATATAGAGGAACCGCTGAAAGGTTTTGTTTGGGAGTTCGATAAGGTGTGTTTGCAGCTTTTACTTGACATCAGTGTAGAAGCCTGCTTCTATGCAGTTTGATTAATGCTGGTTTGCTTTGATGCAGGGAGATTTTCATCACTGGGTTGATCTTTTCAATCACTTCGATACATTTTTTGAGAAGCACATAAAAACAAGGAAGGATTTGCAGTTTGAGGATAACTTTTTGGAATCTGATCCTCCTTTCCCAAGAGAGGCTGTTCTTCAGATTCTCCGTGTGGTGAGGATAATTTTGGAGAACTGTACAAATAAGCATTTCTATAGTTCTTATGAGGTATCTTTTCCCCCCTCTAGTATATTTGTGATGCTTTTCTGATATATTTTGGTTTTTTTATTTTTATCTTTTTTGTTTTGCTTGTGTGTTTACATGTGTAAAATTTTATATTGTTCTTTTTGGTGTTTCCTTGTTGCAACAGAAATGCACTCCTTACCTTACTCCGCCCTCCCCCATTTTCTATGTAAAATTCATTTTTGTTTCTTATGTGGATATGCAGCATCATCTTTCATCTCTGCTTGCTTCCATCGATGCGGATGTGGTTGAGGCTTGCCTGCAAACTTTGGCAGCTTTCTCGAAGAAAACAATTGGAAAGTATGTCATAAGAGATACTTCTCTTAATTCAAAGTTGTTTGCTTTTGCGCAAGCTTGGGGGGGAAAGGAAGAAGGCCTTGGATTAATTACATGTGCTATAGAGGATGGATCTGAGCCAATTGCTTATGAGCTAGGTTCCACCCTCCATTTTGAGTTCTATGCCACGAATGAGTCATCCAATGAACTTCCGGCTGATGAACAATCAACCCAAGGTTTACAAATCATTCGTTTGCCTAACATTAACACTTATCAAGAGTCTGACCTTGAACTTTTGAATAAGTTAGTCATAGAGTACAAAGTGCCCCCAAGTTTAAGATTTTCACTTTTGACAAGATTGCGGTTTGCAAGGGCTTTCAGCTCATTAGCTGCCCGACAACAGTACACGTGCATTCGCCTATATGCCTTCATGGTTCTTGTTCAAGCATGTGGCGATACTGATGACTTGGCTTCTTTCTCTAACAATGAGCCTGAGCTCATTAATGAGTTGGTGTCATTATTGAGTTATGACGATGCAATTCCTGAAAAGATTCGAATTCTGAGCCTGCTTTCCTTGGTTGCTCTTTGTCAAGATCGGTCTCGCCAGCCTAGTGTGTTGACTGCTGTAACATCTGGTGGGCACCGCGGCATTCTGTCTAGCCTCATGCAGAAGGCTATTGATTCCATTGTTAGTAATTCGTCAAAGTGGTCTGTTGTTTTCACTGAGGCTTTATTATCTCTTGTCACTGTTTTGGTCTCATCATCGTCAGGTTGCTCAGCCATGCGTGAATCAGGATTCATACCAACACTTCTGCCTCTTCTTAAAGATACAGATCCGCAACATTTGCATCTGATCAGCATGGCTGTACATGTTCTAGAGGCTTTTATGGACTACAGCAACCCAGCTGCCGCACTGTTTAGAGACCTGGGGGGTTTAGACGATACCATTGCACGCCTGAAAGTAGAAGTTTCGTATGTCGAAAGTGGTTCAAAGCAGCAAGGTTCTTCTACTGAGCTAGACAGTTCTGAATTCAGTGGTACACAGGTAGTTGCAGGGGTTTCTACTGAACTAGATAACACGCACCCTCTTTATTCTGAGGCGTTGGTTGCATATCATCGGCGGTTACTGGTGAAAGCTTTGCTACGCGCAATATCTCTGGGTACCTATGCTCCTGGAAGCACTGGTCGTATTTATGGTTCAGAGGAGAGTTTGTTACCGCATTGTTTGTGCAGTATTTTTAGAAGAGCAAAAGATTTTGGTGGTGGAGTGTTCTCACTAGCAGCAACTGTAATGAGTGATCTCATTCATAAAGATCCTACTTGTTTTCCTGTCTTAGAAGCAGCTTGTCTTCCATCTGCTTTCATGGATGCTATAGTGGATGGTGTCCTTTGCTCTGCAGAAGCGATAACATGCATACCTCAATGCTTGGATGCCTTGTGCCTCAATAACAATGGCCTTCAGGCTGTGAAAGATCGCAATGCCTTGAGATGCTTTGTGAAAATATTTACTTCCAGGTCATACATGCGTGCCCTTACTGGTGATACTCCTGGATCTTTGTCTAATGGTCTCGATGAACTAATGCGCCATGCATCTTCATTGCGTGTGCCTGGAGTAGACATGCTGATTGAGATTTTGAATGTTATCGCAAAGATTGGTTCTGGGGTAGAAGCTGCTTCTTCATCATCTGATTCTCCTGTTTTCATGGAAACTGATGCCGAAGAGAGGAATTGTAGTCCCTCAGATGATAAGGAATCATGCAAGATTGAGAAGACTGATAAGTCCGCTGAGCCCACTCCTGATGCCGCATTGGTGAACATTGAGTGTTTTCTTCCTGATTGCATTAGCAATACTGCTCGCCTTCTTGAAACAGTTCTTCAAAATGCCGACACATGTCGGATATTTGTCGAGAAGAAGGGAATTGAAGCTGTCTTACAGTTATTTACTTTGCCATTAATGCCTCTTTCAGTGTCTGTTGGTCAGAGCATCTCTGTGTCATTTAAGAACTTCTCTGCACAACATTCTACTTCCCTTGCTCGAGCTGTATGTTCATTCTTGAGAGAGCATGTGAAGACAACCAATGAGCTTTTAATTTCAGTTGAAGGGACACAGATTGGTCTGCTAGAAATTTCAATGCAGATGAAGGTCTTGAGATGTCTTTCTAGTCTCGAAGGTATCCTGTCTCTTTCCAATTCTTTGTTGAAGGGGAATGCTGCTGTGGTCTCTGAGCTGGGTACTGCTGATGCTGATGTATTGAAAGATCTTGGGAGGACTCACAGGGAAATTCTCTGGCAGATTTCTCTCTGTTGTGATTCCAAGGTAGAAGAGAAGCAGAATGTTGAAGTAGAACCAGAGAGTGCAGATGCAGCTGTATCCAATACTTCTGGAAGAGAGAGTGATGATGATGCAAACATCCCTGTGGTTAGCTACATGAACCCTCTTTATGTCAGGAATAGTTCTCAATCTCAGTGGGGTGCAGAACTTGATTTTCTTTCAGTGGTTCTATCTGGTGAAGGCTTTAATCGTCGTAGTCGACATGGGTTGACACGGCTCAGGGGTGGAAGGACGGGCAGGCATCTAGAAGCTTTCAACATTGATTCTGAAGTTTCAGCCAATGTATTGGAGACTTCTTCCCAGGATATGAAGAAGAAAAATCCTGATGTTCTTGTTTCGGAAAGTCTGAACAAACTTGCTTCGACTATGCGGTCTTTCTTCACAGCTCTTGTCAAAGGATTCACGTCACCAAACCGTCGCAGAACCGAGTCTGGGTCGTTGAATTCAGCATCAAAGAGCATTGGAACTGCACTGGCTAAAGTTTTTCTTGAGGGTTTTAGTTATTCAGGGTGTTCCTCCTCTGGGAGTGATATGTCACTATCAGTGAAGTGTCGCTATCTTGGAAAGGTTGTGGATGACATGGCGGCTCTTACATTTGATAGTAGGCGACATACTTGTTATACAACAATGGTCAATAATTTCTATGTCCATGGCACCTTCAAGGAACTTCTCACCACATTTGAAGCTACAAGTCAATTGTTATGGACGTTACCTTACTCTATTCCAACATCTGGTGTTGATCATGAGAAAGCTGTTGAAGGAAGCAAATTGTCTCATAATTCATGGTTGCTTGATACTTTACAAGGCTATTGCCGTTTGCTGGAGTATTTTGTTAATTCTTCTTTACTTTTATCTTCAACCTCTGCATCCCAGACTCAGCTGCTTGTTCAGCCTGTTGCAGTTGGTTTGTCAATTGGATTGTTTCCTGTTCCAAGGGACCCAGAGGTATTTGTTTGCATGCTCCAGTCTCAGGTTTTGGATGTGATACTTCCTGTGTGGAACCATCCGATGTTTTCCAGTTGCAGTCCTGGTTTTATCAATTCAATTGTTTCGCTTGTTACTCATGTCTATTCTGGTGTTGGTGAAGTGAAACGAAATCGCAGTGGTATGTCAGGAAGTACGAATCAACGGTTCATGGCTCCTCCACCTGATGAAGCTACTATTGCTACAATTGTGGAGATGGGTTTTACAAGGGCAAGGGCAGAGGAAGCATTGAGACGCGTGGAAACAAATAGTGTTGAAATGGCTATGGAATGGTTGTTTAATCATGCTGAAGATCCAGTACAGGAGGATGATGAACTAGCTCGGGCACTTGCTTTGTCTCTGGGGAGTTCATCAGAAACCTCTAAAGTTGATAGCATTGATAAATCAATGGATGTCCTGACAGATGAGGGACAAATAAAGGCACCTCCTGTTGATGACATCCTTGCTGCAGCAATGAAGTTGTTCCAGAGTAGTGACTCAGTAGCATTCCCGCTGACGGACTTGCTTGTGACACTTTGCAATCGGAGTAAAGGTGAAGATCGCCCTAGAGTGATGTCCTATCTTATTCAGCAGCTTAAGCTTTGTCCATTGGAATTTACAAATGATACAAATGCTTTGAATGCGGTATCACATATTTTAGCATTACTTCTTTCTGAAGATGGATGTACACGAGAAATTGCTGCACAAAATGGGGTTGTCTCTGTAGCGATAGACATCTTGATGAACTTCAAGGCTCGAACTGAGTTTGGAAGTGAGGTTCTGGCTCCAAAATGCATTAGCACGCTACTTCTTATTTTGGATAATTTATTGCAGTCCAGGCCTAGGATTTCTTCTGATGATACAGAAGGAATTTCAGCATGAGCAGGACCTTTACCTGATTTATCTGGAGAGCATGCTTCACTATCAGCTTCAGAAGCAGTTACTGAGAGAAAATCAACTCTGGAAGCCCATGAGAAAGAATCTGAAACTGCATTTGAGAAGATTTTTGGAAAATCTACTGGTTATCTGACTATTGAGGAGAGTCGCAAGGTACTGGCTATTGCTTGTGACTTAATAAAACAGCATGTCCCAGCTCTGGTCATGCAAGCTGTTCTACAGTTATGTGCTCGCTTGACAAAAGTACATTCTCTGGCTTTGCTGTTCCTTGATAATGAAGGCATGGTTGCTCTTTTTAGTCTTCCAAAAAGTTGCTTCTTTCCTGGATATGATACCTTGGCATCTGCTATCATTCGGCATTTACTTGAGGATCCTCAGACACTGCAAACAGCTATGGAACTGGAGATACGGCAAACTCTTAGCGGAACTCGTCATGCTGGTCGTGTTTCTGCACGATCATTTTTGACTTCAATGGCACCTGTTATCTCTAGAGATCCAGGGATTTTTATGAAAGCTGCAACTGCTGTTTGTCAGTTGGAGTCGTCAGGAGGGAGGAATGTTGTGGTGTTGTCAAAGGAAAGGGAGAAGGAAAAGGACAAATCAAAGGCACCTGGTATTGAAATTGGAGCATCTTCTAATGAATGTGTAAAAATTCCTGAGAGTAAGACCCATGATGTATCAGGTAAATGTCCCAAAGGCCACAAAAAGATTCCTGCAAATCTTACTCAGGTAATTGATCAGCTGCTGGAAATTATGTTGAAATATCCTTTGCCTAAAAGTGATGAGAATTGTGCAAGTTATTCAACTGCCATGGAGGTGGATGAACCTGCTACAAAGGTTAAGGGTAAATCAAAGGTTGATGAGACAAGGAAGATTGAGTCCGACCACCTATCAGAGAAATCAGCAGCACTAGCTAAGGTGACTTTTGTTCTCAAGCTGTTGAGTGACATTCTTCTAATGTATGTCCATGCAGCTGGGGTTGTGCTGAGACGGGATTCAGAAATGAGTCAAGTCAGGGACTCTAGTCATATGGAAAGTGCTGGACATGGTGGGATAGTGCATCATGTTTTACAATGCCTTCTTCCGCTGTCTACAGATAAAAATGCTGGACCTGATGAATGGAGAAGCAAGTCATCTGAAAAAGCCTCATGGTTTCTGGTGGTTTTGTGTGGTCGTTCTAGTGAAGGGCGCAGACGAGTAATCAATGAACTCGTGAAAGCTTTATCTTTATTTTCAAACTTGGAGAGCAATTCTTCCAAGAGCAGCTTATTGCCAGATAAAAGGGTTCTTGCTTTTGCTGACCTGGTATATTCCATTTTGTCAAAAAATTCACCTTCCGGCAATTTACCTGGTTCTGGGTGCTCACCTGACATTGCAAAAAGTATGATAGATGGTGGAATGGTTCAGTCTCTTACCAGCATTCTTCAAGTGATTGATTTGGACCATCCTGATGCTCCTAAACTTGTGAATCTTTTACTAAAGGCTTTGGAAAGCCTAACACGGGCAGCCAATGCTAGTGAGCAAGTCTTCAAATCTGATTCGCTCAACAAGAAAAAATCCATTGTTTCAAATGGGAGGTCCAATGATCAAACATCTACAATGGCAGTTGTTGAGACAGTAGAGCCTGATCATAATAGGAGCAGTCAACAGGAAGTTACTGATGCAGCAGATGCACAGCAACAGCATATAGGATCTTCTCAGAATCAAGGCGATCATGATGCGGCTTCAAACCAGTCTTTGGAGCAGGATATGAGAATTGAGGTGGAAGAGACTGTGACTGCTAATCCACATATGGACCTTGGGATGGATTTCATTCCTGAAGAAATTGAAGAAGGTGGTGTGTTACACAATAGAAATCAAATTGAGATGACTTTTCATGTTGAGAACAGGGCAGATGATGATATGGTTGATGAAGGTGATGACATGGGGGATGATGGTGAGGAGGAAGAGGATGATGATGAGGGGGAGGAGGAGGATATAGCCGAAGATGATGCTGCTCTGATGCCTCTGGCTGATACAGATGTAGAAGACCATGATGATGGTGGTTTGGGAGATGAATACAACGATGATATGATTGATGAAGAGGATGATGATTTTCATGAAAATCGTGTGATAGAGGTAAGATGGAGGGAAGCCCTTGATGGGTTAGATCATTTGCAGGTACTTGGGCAACCCGGAGCTTCAAGTGGTCTCATTGATGTTGCAGCTGAACGCTTTGCAGGGGCGAATGTGGAGGACCTTTTGGCTCGTAGGCCTCTAGGTTTTGATCGCCGCCGCCAGACAAGTAGGACTTCCTTTGAGCGATCTGTTACAGAAGGAAATGGTCTTCAACATCCTCTCCTCTTGAGGCCATCCCAATCTGGGGATCTTTTTTCAATGTGGTCGTCAGGGGGGAATTCATCCAGGGATTTAGAACCCTCTGCTGGAAGCTTTGATGTAGCTCATTTCCACATGTTTGATGCCCCTGTTCTTCCCTATGATCATGTACCGGCTAGTCTGTTTGGTGAACGATTGGGTGCTGCAGCGCCACCGCCACTGGGTGATTTCTCTGTGGGTCTGGATTCATTGCGTTTGCCTGGCAGAAGAGGGCCAGGTGATGGTAGATGGACAGATGATGGTCAGCCACAAGCAGGTGGTCTAGCTGCTGCTATTGCACAGGGAATTGAGGAACAGTTCATGTCTCAATTACGCAGTTTTGCTCCTGCTGACAGTTCAGTCGAAAGGCAGTCACAGAATTCAGGACTGCATGAGAGACAACAGGTAGATGCCCTTGTAACAAATGATAGCCAACAGGCAGTAATTGATGATAGCACTGTTGATCAGCAAACTGAAGGTCAGGATCATGTGAATGGTGGTGAAACTGCTGCTAATCATGAAACTAGTCCAATGGTTGAAAGTGTTCCCCATGAAGAACAAGGCAACCCACAGGTTGTTGAATCCAATGAATGCCTACAGGTATGTGAACCTATGTCCAGTGATGCGCAAGCTGAGAATGGTGCTTTAAATGGTCATGATAGCATGGAAGCTGGGGAAGGAAATGGTACCACCAACGAGCAGGTACAGACAACCCCAAATTGTTTTACCATTTAAACATGGTCATGTATGTGTGGGTCGTTTTATCCACTGTGTGAAACATGTTCTGATGTTCTTACAAATCTCTGTGATGTGCTGTTTCAGGATGTGGGTCATGATAGATCTTCAGCGACAGATAGCCAGTCTAGTAATCATGCATTGCTAACTTCAGGCTTTGAGATTTCTAATCCAGGTGGTTGTCATGATTCTTTGGTCAATGGAAGTCGCGATGTTGATATGAACAGTATGCCCATGGAAGGAAATCAAGTTGAGCAACCCCTACCTTCTGAGGTTGGTGTGGATGAACCATTGTCAACGCAGAACACAATGGTTGCTCAAGATGCTGGTCAAACTGATCAGCCTAATTTGAATGAGCCTCCTAATGCAAATGGTATAGATCCAACCTTCTTAGAGGCGCTTCCTGAAGATCTCAGGGCAGAAGTTCTAGCTTCCCAACAAGCTCAATCTGCACAAGCTCCAACTTATGCTCCGCCTTCAGCAGAAGATATTGATCCAGAGTTTTTAGCCGCTCTCCCTCCCGAAATTCAAGCAGAAGTTTTGGCTCAACAACAGGCACAGAGGATTGTACAGCAGGCCGAAGGACAACCTGTTGATATGGACAATGCTTCAATTATAGCCACTTTCCCTGCTGATTTACGTGAAGAGGTTTGCATCTTGAACTCTACTGTTTGTTACTCTCCATGATTGAATTGTGAGTCATGCGATGACACTAGTGGCTGCTTTTGTTTCAGGTGCTTTTGACTAGCTCGGATGCAGTTTTGTCAGCATTGCCCTCTCCATTACTTGCTGAAGCACAAATGCTCAGGGACAGAGCAATGAGTCATTATCAGGCTCGCAGCATTTTTGGAAGTACCCACAGGTCTAATAATCGGAGAAATGGTTTAGGGTTTGACAGGCAGACAATGATGGACAGAGGTGTTGGTATTACAATAGGCCGAAGGGCATCTTCTGCTCTTGCAGAGGGCTTGAAGTTGAAGGAAATTGAAGGGGAGCCACTTTTGAATGCACATGCTTTGAAAGCATTGATCCGACTTCTAAGATTAGCACAGGTAATCATATGAACTGTGCAAATGGATAGTTGATATTCCTCAATTGCTTTTGGTATGCCATTTTTAATTTATGAGAAATTATGGGGTGTGTTTGGTTTGTGTTTTGAAACATGTTTTTGGAAGAAAATTTCCAAGAACATGTTTGGTTACAAATTTTCTCAAAAAAATTTCAAAATTACTTCTCTCTATTACACATCAATCAATCATTTTTTCTCTCCTCTCTCCTTCTCAATCACTTTTTCTCTCACATACATTTACTCAACTACAACAAAATATCAAATCATCCCAAACTCCCAAACTCCAAAACTATTTTCAAAATATACAACCAAACAAACCAAAAAAATTTCTAAACTCTCTCTCCAAATTTTTTTTTTTGAAAATTTATCTCAAAACACAAACCAAACACACCCATGATGTTTATTAAGTTGGTTGACTGTTTTTCTTTTTTCCTGTTAGCCTCTTGGGAAAGGCCTTCTACAGAGACTATTGCTGAATTTATGTGCACATAGTGTTACAAGGTCGATTCTAGTTCGGCTTCTTATCGACATGATCAAGCCTGAGACTGAAAGCACAGTCAGTAAATTGACCACTGTTAATTCCCAGAGGCTTTATGGTTGTCAATCCAATGTTGTTTATGGTAGATCACAGCTGTTGGATGGTACTGCTTTCTTCTAATGTGACTACATTACATTGTTTGTTTTGATGTTATACATGTCGATTTCATGTGAAAGTTCATCTGTCCACAGGTCTTCCCCCCCTGGTGTTGCGCCGGATACTTGAGATTTTGACTTACCTGGCCAACAACCATTCTGCAGTTGCCAATATCTTGTTCTACTTTGACCCCTCACTTGTTCCAGAGTATTCAAATCTAAAACATTCAGAAATTAAGAAGGATAAAGGGAAGGAGAAAATTGAGGGAGGAGATTTATCTAACCCTTTAGGGAACTTTCAGAGAGGGGACGTTCCTTTAATACTGTTCTTGAAACTCTTGAGCCAACCGCTTTTCTTATGCAGCAGTGCTAACCTTGAGCAGGTATGAGCAAGCTTCTTACTCAATGGAGCTATATGTCAGCCTTGAGAATCGATTTCCCCATGGTCATTGCTGCATTATATTTTGGTTACATTGCTATTATTATATTATATAATTGTTATTGATTCATTTATATGATGCAGGTCATGGGTCTGATTCAAGTAGTTGTCGATACCGCAGTATCAATGTTGGAGTGTCAACCTCATTCTGAACAGGCAGCTGCCATTTCCGAAAATACGTCTGAGAGTGAAGCTATAGGTGGTGTTCAGAAAGACATGCCTTTATCTGAAGTGGAATCTAATCAAGATGATAAAAAAGCCAGTGCTGAGTCATCCACATCGGATGGGACGAGGAGCATCAGCACATATGATATCTTCTTGCAGCTCCCGCAAGCTGATTTGTACAATCTATGCAGCCTTCTTGGCCATAAGGGGTATATTATGCTTGCAATCTTATTCTGAATGTTGCCAAAAATTATGTATTACTTGTTTGATGTTTCTGAGACTAGGTTGATAAAAAATTCATCATTTCTAATTAACATCATTTGTTTACTTACTCTTTTGGGTTCTTAATTAACTTGGGTTTATGATTTTAGGCATCGTGATCTTGTGCTTAGTAGCCTCTTTCTATTCATTTCTTTCTTCTATTTTTTTATTTGTTTTGGCTGCTGCAGTGCATGAGTGTTTGACTTTAATTATTTATTCATCAGGCTTTCAGACAAAGTCTACACACTTGCTGGTGAAGTATTAAAGAAGTTAGCCTCGGTTGCTGCACCCCATCGAAAGCTTTTTATTTCAGAGCTTTCAGAGCTTGCTCATAGTTTGAGCAGTCCAGCCGTCAGTGAGCTCAATACACTGAGAAATACGCACATGCTGGGTTTGAGTGCTGGATCCATGGCTGGGCCTGCTATTCTTCGTGTGCTTCAGACACTTAATTCACTTACTAGTGTTGATGGAAATAAGGGTGTGGAGGTTGATGGGGAACTGGAAGAGCATGCCATTATGTTGAAATTGAGCGTTGCACTAGAGCCATTGTGGCAAGAGCTGAGTGATTGCATAAGCACTACTGAGGCCGAATTAGCACTGAGCTCTTTCTCTTCAATTATGTCAAATACAAATGTCGGGGAGCATGTGCCCGGATCATCATCACAATCTCCTCTTCCTCCTGGAACTCAGAGATTATTGCCTTTCATTGAGGCTTTCTTTGTTTTATGTGAAAAACTACAAGCAAGCAATTCCACCATGCAGCAAGATCATGCAGACATAACTGCCAGAGAAGTGAAAGAGGTCACTGGGACTTCAGCTCCATCACCCAGCAAATGTGGAGTGGATTCTCAAAAAAGGCTTGATGGGGCTGTCACTTTTGTGAAGTTTGCTGAGAAGCATCGTCGACTACTGAATGCTTTTGTCAGGCAGAATCCAGGTTTGTTGGAGAAATCCCTTTCTATGATTCTGAAGGCACCGAGGCTTATTGATTTTGACAACAAAAGAGCCTATTTCCGCTCAAGAATTAGGCAGCAGCATGAGCAGCACCTCTCTGGTCCACTGCGGATAAGTGTTCGACGAGCATATGTTCTAGAGGACTCGTATAATCAATTGCGGATGCGACCTGCTCTGGACTTGAAGGGTAGATTAAATGTACATTTTCAAGGAGAAGAGGGTATTGATGCTGGTGGTTTGACAAGAGAGTGGTATCAATTACTGTCGAGGGTTATTTTTGACAAGGGAGCTTTGCTTTTCACCACTGTGGGAAACAATGCAACCTTTCAACCAAATCCCAACTCCGTTTACCAGACTGAACATCTTTCTTATTTTAAATTTGTGGGTCGCGTGGTATGTCTTCTAGGACCATTTGTCGTTTTCTTTGTTTATTAGTTTAAAATTTTATTTATATGGTCCAATCAGTTAAATGGTTGTTGAATCTTAAAATATTTGTGATGTAGGTTGCTAAGGCTCTGTTTGATGGGCAATTGTTGGATGTTTATTTCACTCGGTCCTTCTACAAGCACATTCTTGGTGTGAAGGTTACTTATTATGACATAGAGGCTATTGATCCAGATTACTACAAGAACTTGAAGTGGATGCTGGAGGTCAGTGATTTTAATTTTATCTCCCCTTCAGTGCCTGCAACACAAATATTTTTAATATTGATAGTTTGTCTTTTTTGCCCTTTATTAGAATGATGTGAGTGACATACTCGATCTGACATTTAGCATGGATCCAGATGAGGAGAAGCATATCCTGTATGAGAAAACTGAGGTATTGTTTTTTGAACTTTTGCTCTGTTCTAATGCTCATATAATTTTTTTAGTTATTGTTAATCTGCTTTAGTATACAGAGGTCTGACCATCCATGTTAACTTCCTTTAAGATCATACCTAATCTTTGTTGTTTACTTTTGAAAGGTTACTGATTATGAGCTTAAACCTGGAGGAAGGAATATAAGGGTCACAGAAGAAACAAAGCATGAGTATGTGGACCTTGTGGCTGAGCATATTCTGACAAACGCTATCCGCCCTCAAATTAATTCCTTCATGGATGGTTTCAATGAATTGATACCTCGAGAACTTATTTCTATTTTCAATGATAAAGAGCTTGAGCTTCTAATCAGTGGGCTGCCTGAAATTGATTGTGAGTTGGCATGCTGTTGTACTTGTTTACTCTATGTGTTATACTTGGTGCATTTTTCAAAATATCTGAGTGATGTTATATTGCCCTTGCAGTGGATGATCTGAAGGCCAATACCGAGTATACTGGATACACTGCAGCATCTAGTGTTGTTCAATGGTTTTGGGAGGTTGTAAAAGCTTTTAACAAGGAAGATATGGCAAGATTGCTGCAATTTGTGACCGGTACATCAAAGGTAACTCGATGCACTGCATGTAGTAGTGCCATTCCTCTCAAAATGGTCATAATAAATATTGATCTTTGTGATTGCAATATTTTGTTAATTGTGATATGTGCTGAATCTTTTTCGCATCTGATTTTATCTTTTTAGCATGCTTAATTCAATATCCCATCTCTGATGGCTAGGTGTCATAATTCTATGTTATTAGTAAGTTTGTGGTTCATTCTGTAAAAGTTCAGAATACAATTGTGAGTTCAGTTTCTCAAATTTGTGTCAATTCTAATTTATGGGTAAAATTTGTGATGGCAATAATGAGGTCCTATTTTCTGTTACAGAAGGTGACTGGGTATAACTGCCATGCTTCGATGACTCACTAAATACTTCTATTTTTTGGTTTCTTAGGTTCCTTTAGAGGGTTTTAAAGCATTGCAAGGCATTTCTGGTCCTCAGAGGCTTCAAGTCCACAAAGCGTATGGTGCTCCTGAGCGGCTTCCATCAGCTCATACCTGGTTGGTGCTTAGACTACTTGCTGTTTACACTCTAAATTTTTTTCCGTTTCTTTTCTTTGAAAGTGGGTTGCTTAAACTGAAAACACTGATGTTATATATTTTTTGTTCTTTTTTTCTAGCTTCAATCAACTAGACCTCCCCGAGTATACTTCCAAGGAACAGCTTCAAGAGCGCTTGCTCCTTGCTATCCATGAAGCTAGTGAAGGATTTGGCTTTGGTTGAATGTAAAATTCTTCATTGCATCATCACTGCCTTACTGCCAGCACTCAATCTTCTTCCGATTTCCATGTACATGTCAGTTTGACACCTTCTCCTTTGATTTGCATATTCTTTTATACTATCTATTTAAATTGATGTTAAATAGGGTATAGTGCAGTATCAATGGTTATTATTGAAATCTTCTATTATGCATGCATCTAATAGAATTTTGTTTACTGCTTTTAGATCAATAGTGACCAAAGGAACAAAAAATGAGTTACTAAAATTAGTGTCTCGAAACCATGATATTCTTTCAATTCCTGTTTGTTGGGGGAGAAAAAAAATGACTTGTTTGCGTAGGGCTTCACTTTCAGTAACTGTGTTGTGCAACAACAAATGATTGACAGATTCAGCTGTCCCTTTGCGGATGTAACACCAGTAGGAATAAACTAATCAACTGTCCACCCAAAAGGGACATCTTTTGGGGAACTTTTGAAATCTAGACAGTCTTCCAAGGGAAACCCAACTGGTGAACTTCTTGAAATTTATTCCATTTATTTATGCATGTTACGATGGAATCCCATTTTAGATTATAAGGGATGTAAAAGATGTTTTTTAATTTTTGATAGAGTGGATACTTACAGTTTACATGTGAGTATGTAATTTGTATCAAAAGCACAAATTAAAGCTTACAAGGATAATTTATTAGAAGTGAGCCCTTATAATCTCTACTAACTGGGGATTATTAATTTGTATATTAAATATTTGTTTAGTCTTTATAGTACTCTCCATGTTTGCTTGCTTGCATTTATAACTCACGTAGAATAAGAAGTCGTCCTGTACAAATTTGTGGATTAGGGCTTTGTTTTATTTTGTTAATTTTGGGGGCATTGAATGTTTTTTTTTTTTTTTTTAAGGTTGTTTTTGTTCATATCTACTTGAGTAGGCACATGCATGTCACATGACTACTAAAGTTACACGTGGCATAGTATGATGTGGACACCTAGGCAAGGGGGAACTTGGTTGGGTCATTATGGAAACAGGTTTATTACTTAACCTATTATTTGTTTGACTTGCAGATACAGGACTGATTCAGATTTAAGTGCTGTTACCGTTACATCGCACGTTTAGGGAGGCCCTTGTTGGGAAAGAAGCCAGCATCGGAATTGGGAATTTCAGATAGAAGAATCTCTATGATGCCGTAACAGTTAGGAAGTGGTGCCCTAATCGGCCTTAAAGAGCAGCAGATGATGTGTATGCTTTTTGTTGATGACAGATGGGCTTTCTCGGTGTCAATTGGCAAAGAAACTGTTTCTTTGGTAGTTTCTTGGCAGTCTTTATCTTTATAGATTCACAGATATGTGCAATAATGTCTTTAGAGAATTTGCCACTCTTTCGTATATCTTTTTTTGGCCTTTTTTGGTCTTATGTTAATATTCTTCATATATATATATATAGTGGCCAATCTGCATTCTTATAGTCCTCTGGTATCTATGTGATACTCTGAATTGAGTTCGATAATTTAGTTAATTTATATTGGCTCATAATGGAGTCAATTGTTTGATATTTTCTTAAATGTCCTGGTTTGTTGTACCAGCTTTTCATATAGTTCATGATTTGTTTGAGACAAGAAAAAGAAAATTTGTTGTCAGAGAGATGAGGGGAAAAAAAATATTTTGAGATTGTTCTTACTTGCAGGTTATCAAAAGGGAATGGCATCCCTCAAGTTCAATCATAGATTGGAGGGTACTGTTGGCCCGTGGGACCTCATCCGGATCCTATTTTAATAATCTGAACTGTTAATGTGTAAAATTCGTCGAGTACTATATGTCTGTAAAAAATCACTTTGATCAGATATTGATAGGTATGTAATCAAATCACTTTTGTATGAAAAAAAATGGACAGTGAAAAATAAACGGTTTACAAAAATCAAATTTTATTACATAGCTATTGATATCCGATTAACGTGATTTTTTACAAACATATAGTACTTGATGAGTTTTACACATTCGAATTATCGAAACGGGACCCGTTGTGGTCCCCTACGAGCCCAACAATATCCTCCAGTCCGTCCAATCACGGACTGGAGAGAATCCATTCCCTTATCAAAACTCAGTATTAGGCCTTGTTTAGGAATAAATTATTTTAGTAATTTTTTAACTTTTTACAAAAAGATGTGCAGAAAAGTAGAGAGAGTGATGTAATGATTTTTTGATTTTTTGACTAAAATATGTAATTGCAAAATGAAGCCTTAATGTTTAATTAGGGCTGTTAAAAAAAAAGGTAAATTACACTGACACCCCATGAGGTTTATGTTTATTACAGTTTTCCTTTCACCTTTTGGAAATTACATCTCTTCCCTTGAGATTTAAAGTTTCATTACAGATTTTCCTCTCAGCCCTTTTAATTTTTTTAAATGTCAATTTCACCCTCATTAGATAAATTACATTGACACTCCTCACCTTATAGAAATTGCAATCCCCTCCCTAAGGTTTAAAGTAGCATTACCAATTACCCCCTCGGTTAGTAAAGTTGGAAAAAAAAATTTATTGGAAAAAAATTAATTGAAAAAAAAAATTGTTAGTAAAATTTTTAAATTTTTGTTTAAAAACTAACGTAAATTCATTTTTTGAATTTTCATTTTTTCCTCAAATTTATAAACTGAGAACTATTTATAAACCAAAAAAATTACCAAACAAATTTTTATGGCAGTTTTTTTAAATTTTTGTAAATATAAATTGAAAATTGAAAACTGAAAACAAAATGGTTACCAAACAGATCTCAGATGGTAAAAATGTCATAAAATTAACAAATAATTAAATAAGTTACCAACGTAACAAATGACTTATCAAAAGATTCTTAGGTTATTTATGGTTTGATTTTTAGAAATTTTTTTAAAAAATTAAAATTAAATTTGGTTAAGAAATAAAAAATAAAAAAAATATTTTTTAAACAAAATGAAAATTATTTTTTTATTTTTTATTTCTTAACCAAATTAATTTTTTATTTTTAAAAAAAAATTCTAAAAATCAAACCATACATAACCTAAGAATCTTTTGATAAGTCATTTCTTATATTGGTAACTTATTTAATTATTTGTTAATTTTACGACATTTTTACCATCTGAAACTTGTTTGGTAACTATTTCGTTTTCAGTTTTCAATTCATATTTACAAAAATTTAAAAAACTGTCATAAAAACTTGTTTGATAATTTTTTTGGTTTATAAATGGTTGTCTCAGTTTGTAAATTTAAGAAAAAAAATGTAAATTCAAAAAATGAGTTTACGTTGGTTTTTAAACAAAAATTTAAAAATTTTACTAAATTTTTTTTTTCAATTAATTTTTTTTCAATTAATTTTTTTTTTCAATGAATTTTTTTTCCAACTAATACTAGCCGAGGAGGCAATTGGTAATATTAATTTAAACCTTAGGGAATGGATTGTAATTTCTAAACTGTGAGGGGTGTCAATGTAATTTACCCAATGAGGGTAAAATTGGTATTTAAAACAATTAAAAATGCTGAGTGAGAAATCTATAATGAAATTTTAAACCTCAGGGGGGAGATTTAATTTCCAAAAGGTGAGAGGAGAACTGTAATAAATATAAACCTTAGGAGGCATCAGTGTAACTTACCTTAAAAAAAAAAAATCACTAGGAAAATTTTATTTTTTTTCTGATCTATATATTACATAGTAGAGTAAAATCAAAGTTTAAATATCCTTCTCTCATTTGTAGTCAGTATTAGCATGACGCAATTTGGCTTAAGTACGGATGTTTTAGAGTAATTTTTTTTAGAATGATTGTAGAGTCATCAGATTAGGCTTTGAGAATTGAAAGGTGAAATGATTATTGTACTTATTATTCAAAAAATCATCTAAGATCACTCTTCACTCGTGCCATCTCATACTATACTCTTGCTCATCGTTATTACCGTCACCACAAATTTAACATGATGAACATATATAATCACCACTGGGGTTGGTGGCCCAGTGGAGAATGCATTTGCCTCCATTAGCCCGAGTCAAGTTCGACTCTTGGGGGGCGCGAAAAATCTTGGCTTTGCTAGGGGTTCTCTTTGAGACCTCGCGCTGTATTCCAATCGAAACTTGTCCGTGGTTGAGGCGGTTGATGAACTCCGGTGGATCCCCCACTTGGTGGAGGTTAATTCCTGACTGGCAATCGGTTACCTCGAGGTCAGAGTCCGCAGGGACTATGATGACACTACAGAACCCTTTATTTTTTCTCAATAAAAAAAAAACATATATAATCGATATTTACCTTTCCCCTAAAGTTTACATTCAATGAAAGTTATTCAGTGTTAGAAGAGACTCGCGAATTCATCTTATTCTACTCAATCACAATCGTCATTGACAAACCTTTCTCGCGGCCAACACTTCTTTATAGGTTGGAAGAGACTTTTGAATAGGGCCAACAATTTTGATGATGTGGTAAATCATGACAATCCTTTGGTGCTGCCAACACTTCTTTAGAGGTTGGAAGAGACTTTTGAATAGAGCCAATCATTTTGATGATATGGTAAATCAAAATTGACTGTTAGTAAATCATCGGGTTTAAATGACATTCACAAATAAATTATTTTCTTGAATCACACCTTATTTTTAAAATAAAATTATGAATTAAATTTTTTTTTGGGACACATAATTACCCAAAGGATCTAAAAAAAAAAATTACCCAAAGGATTTTGCGAACTGGGTAGTTTGTACCTCAACAATGGGCCTCTTACGTCCACGAGCAGATCAAGGCTCATGTCGGGAAGCTTCTATTCGCATACGCATATACTCATTCTCTTTTTTACACATCTTTTTTAATAAATAATTAGTTCAAAAATAAAATTTTAAAAATAAATAATTAGTTCGGAAGTAACATTTTGAAAATAAATAATTTGTTCAGAAATAGAATTCTGAATTTTTTTATTTTTTCGATATTTAACTTTTAAATATGTTTATTTAATATCTATAATAATAATTTACTTGAAAATAAAATTATAATAAAAATAATTTTTATTAAGTGCGTGTAAAGAGGGGAACGGGTTCTGCAAATAAAAGCTCCCCCCATGTCGATGTTACGGGTGGCTCTATTTACACACCACCTTTTCTCTCAAGGCAAACCATTAATTAATTTATTTTTTATTACAATTTTAACCTTAAATGAAATGACTATTAAGGACAAATTATAATACACACCATTTATGTATTTACCATAAAGGACAAGAATCAATATAATATAAATCATTAATTCAAACTTGTTCCTTACGTATCTTCTTTGTCAAGAATACAAAAACCCTAAAATCAAAACCAAAAACTCTTCAACAAATAATCAAAAATATAATATTTTTGAAGATTTTGAATGGATTCAATGAAGGATGTATTTGACAACTTTGATTCACAACAATGGAATAAGGAAGAGGTTATTTTTTTTTTTTGTTGTTTTTGTTTTCGTTTTCGTCTCCTTGCTGAGTGGTAAATAGTTGGTACAGTTCGGTTAACCAGAGCCACATTATATCGTTGTTCGACTTATTACGCATTTGTTCGACTAACTACAATCGAACATAATGACAATGTTCGACCAACAACAACCGAACAAAATGCACTTGTTCAACATACTACGGTTGAACAAAATGAATTTGTTCAACATGCTACGGTCGAACAAAATGAATTTGTTCAACATACTACGGTCGAACAAAATTCACTTGTTCAACATACTAAGGTCGAACAAAATGCATTTGTTCAACATACTACGGTCGAACTATTTTAATGTATTCGGTTTGTAAGAGTCGAACTTTATTCGTATATTCGGAAAAAATCGAGCAATTTCATTTAATTCGACTCTGTATTGCCGAACATTTATAATTTTTTTTTCTTTTTTTTTTTCAGAACAGTGCATCCGTGGAATATAGTAATGTTGGATCTGGGGGTCTTGTTGACTACACGAGTCAATTTCTTACTAATGAGGTACTCTCATGTCGAAAATTAGTATTTTTTTCTTTTTCTTTTCGGATGTTTAATGAGTTTGTTGAATTTGACTTGTAGGTTTTCAAGAGCAAAGAAGAATTACTTGGTTGGGTACGAGACGTTGGAAGGAAAAATGGGTTTGTGATTGTCATCAAGACATCAGACTATGGTGGTGGTCATAGGACATCGAGGATATTTCTTGCCTGTGAGAGAAGTGGTCAATACAGAGCTCATAAGAAATTAGCGGGAGATGATTCAAGCAAAAAAATTGTGAAGATAACGGGTACAAAGAAATGCGGGTGTCCCTTTGAGTTAAGGGCTCGTAAGTTGATGGCTGATGATGATTGGATGGTAGATGTAGCATGTGGAATACATAATCATGCTCCTGCTAAACATTTTGAAGGACATTCATTTGCAGGGAGATTATCTGAGGAGGAAAAATCATTATTAGTGGATATGTCCAAAAGCATGGTCAGACCGAAAGAGATTTTGGTTACATTGAAACGAAAGGATGCTTTGAATGTAACCACTATGAAAACCATTTACAATGTACGTCATAGGAATAATGTTATTGAGAAAGCTGGGAGATCACAAATGCAACATTTGTTGGGTGAGTTAGAAAAGCATAATTACATTGAGCGGCATAGGTGTGACAACAACACGATGACTGTCACAGACTTGTTTTGGGCACATCCTGTCAGTTTAGATTTGCTCCGTTCATTTCCAAAGGTGTTGATCATGGACTGCACATATAAGACAAATCGATATCGTCTTCCTCTTCTTGAGATAGTTGGAGTGACATCCACTGATATGTCATTCTCCGTAGCCTTTGCATATCTCCAATTTGAGCGGATTGATAACTACGTTTGGATGTTAACTACATTGCGTAGTCTCTTGGATGACATTGCTATTCCTGAGGTGATTGTCACGGACAGGGAGCTTGCTTTGATGAATGCTATTGACAGGGTATTTTCTACATCTCGACATTTATTATGCAGATGGCATATTGATAGAAATGTACTGTCGAAATACAAGAAAATGTTTAAGAGTAAGGAGGAATGGGACAAGTTTATCTCTTTATGGAATTTCTTAGTACTCTCCTCAACTGAGCTTGAATACAATGAACATCTTGCTAGGCTACTTGCGGATTTTGCTACATATCCTGAGGCAGTGCAATATGTGTCACAAAGTTGGTTAATTCCATATAAGGATAAGTTTGTTGCCGTATGGACAGATAGTTGTATGCACTTCGGGAATGTTACAACCAATAGGTAATATATATTTGTCTACCTTACACTATCACGCATTATGATTTTGATTATTTAAACTTGATTATGTTAATTGTTTCCATTGTACATAGGGCTGAAAGTGCACATGCAAAACTGAAACGGCAACTTGGTTCTAACCAAGTAAATTTTGAGTGTTCTTGGACCAAGATCCATAGTTTGCTTGAGTTGCAGCATGTTGATATTAAGGCATCATTTGAGAAGAGCTTAACCATTGTACAACACCAGTTCAAACCATCCCATTTTAGAGAGCTCCGAGGCAATATCTCTATTACTGCATTAGATCATGTCTTAGCGGAGAGTAAGCGAGCGAATGATGTTGGCATTGATGCTTCAGTATGTGGATGTGTTGTTCGACGAACACACGGGTTACTGTGTGCCCATGAGATTGCGGATTACATCCGGCAAGGTCGTCAAATACCACTTGATAGCATTAACCCACACTGGAGGACTCTTGAGGTAGTACAAAAGTTGAAGAATGATAAAGTGGAATTGAGTTGTGAACCAAAGTTTGATCTCATACTTAAGCGATTCAATGCATCTGATTACTCTACGCAGTTGGAAATTCTGCATAAGTTAGGAGAGATTACAGATCCGCAAAGTAGTTTTCTCATTGAGCCGGATGTGAAGCCCAACCCTCGAGGTAAGGAACATAAGAAGATAGATGTATCTACGCGTCGAGACTCGTGTGCATTTGAGCTAGTTCAGTCTGGACATGATAGCCACTCACCTATGGGCACCCAGATCCCCACACAAGATTCTGTCAAAGCACATAAAAAACGGCCTGCCAAAGAGTAGGTACATGTAATCATTTTTTACTTACATTTTTGTTTATGATAAATTACGTGTTTTGTTGGTCATGTGTTGATGTCTTTCCTGTTGAATAGGTATATCGGACGCGTACAAGTACAACTTATTCATATGTTGATGCCCTTCCAGTTGGATTGAAGCCTTACATACGTCTTATCAAGGATGTGGATGCCGATGGCAATTGCGGGTTTAGGGCCATTGCTGGCTTGATGGGGCTTACAGAGGCTGAATGGGGTCAAGTCAGGCGTGATCTCCTACAGGAATTGCACACACACATAGACCATTATACTCATCTATATGGTTCACATGACAGGATTGAAGAGCTGACCCATATTCTATCATTCTTTGAGCCTAATCCAGGGTATCACCGTTGGATGACTATGCCTGACATGGGTCATCTTATTGCATCTTGTTATAATGTGGTATTGTACCACTTATCTGCACAACAATGCCTTACTTTCCTCCCCCTACGATCAGTGCCAATATCACAACTTCAACGGAGTGAGATTGCTATTATGTTTGTTAATGGGAATCATTTTGTCCAGGTATAGCATTATGATTTGTGTAACACATTTATCCTTTTGTATTGTATCGCTCTCATACTTATATTTGTGTTAATATAGGTGTTCATGTTACCGGGTCATCCAGTTCCACCAATAGCTACCAATTGGTGCAAGTTTCATCATTCTTGTGCGGCTGGATGGGATACTACATATAGTTGCCGAATTGAGCATTTTAAAGAAGTTGTTCATTCAGGGGTAGCTACTAGAGAGACATTTGATTGTATTAACCTTGATGAGTAATGATGTATGTGAGTTGAGTTGTAGTGATGCAATTTAAATAGTTACCGATACATTTTTTTGGATTAGCATTTAAATAGTTGCGTTGGATTAAGCTTTGAGTTAATTTAATGCACATGGTAGTACTTGTTCATTGCGGCGTATCAAATGCATTGGCATAATACTTCATGTTGATTACCAAAAATACAAACTATGAATACTTTTTCGTTATAAAATATTGGTAGAGTAATTTTTGTTCATTACAAAACAACAAAAACATCAAAAGAGTACTTCTTTTCCAATACAAAATACCAAAACAAGATTACCACATAACCAACTACCTATCATCTACTCGTCTCCTACGATTGTATGTTTGAAGTGTAATAGAACTAGGTCCAGCCTCATCAATTTGTTGACCTTGAACAGAATAAAGCCAAAGCCCACTGGACTGAAAGTCATTGCCGAATAGACATGAAAGACAAAATGAGAGTACACTGAGTTAAGGGTACTTGTGCCTAGTGTTTTTAAAGGCTCAAGGCGCATATAACCTATCTGGCTCACGAACACTAGCATCATGGCCCGCCTCGATGATAGGATGGGCAATCCGTAATGCGTGATCAATACGCTGCATTAAGAACAAATACAATTGTAATTAGCACATGTCATCCTAAAAAAAAAAATTAAACGATGTGTGCGCAATATTGTCATACCTCAGCGTCCTGCACATCAAATCAACTATCATGTGCACGTGGGTCAAAACCAGACCGATGTGTGGGGTTCTGGATATATAAGTGTGTGATACTTGTATACCACTGCATGTAACCATCAACACAATCAGCTGGACGTCTGACTGGGGTACTCCTCCTTCGAGCAGATAAAACATGATTATCCCAACTCTCCCATATCTGATCAAGATACTGATACATCACTTTATATCGGCCTGCTGTCACACCTCTAACAGCACGAACAGGGTCGAGGGGCGCAGGTGGGATGGTCTGAATCCTACCAAACTGTCTAAGAACCCTTTCAGGATGATAGGGTTCAACAACATCCAAACACTTCAAACAGCCAGTATAGAATGTGATCTCATGACATGGGTGATGTTGACGGCAATGTCGATATGGATCCCAAGTAACCTAAGAAAGAAACATAAATGAAATCGTGATGAGTGACATGTAATGAGAAAACTTAATTAAACTAATATTAATTAGTGTACCTCATCAAATGCTAATCTGTCAAGCTCCTCCCGTAACGCCTGTAGGTGTGATATCGTTGAGCCAGCTTCCCGACGAGGAGTCCATCGATGCACGTGAGGCAATTGTACAGTATATTGCATGTTTTGGCGAGGTCTAAATGGCCGGAAATGCTCATAAATCCATGCCTCCAATAATGTCATGTAACCAGCCATTTGTCGAACAGCTGATCTCGTGGCAAATCCCAACTGTCGGTATAAATATGCCAATGCAGCTGCACCCCAAGCATATGTATGAATATCAGACAAATCCATCAACAACTTCAAGTACACAACAGGAACTCTCGTCCCACTCTTATCACTGAACAATGTACATCCCAATAGAAATAGCAAATACGCTCTGGCGGCACAAGCTATGGATTCCTCGGTGTCTGAATCTTTGCAACCATTGAATTTGGTTTGTAACCACTCCAGCTTCACTGATTGTCCCCTAGCAGATGATAGTTCCTCAGTTGCTTCAGCATCATCAACTCCCAAGGCATCTACCACAAATGCATGTGCCTGTTGATCTGTCAAAGTTGCAGCACTAACTGATCTACCTGTGATAGGGATCCCCAAGATGGTACCCACATCATCCAATGTCATTGTCATCTCACCAACTGTCAAATGGAAAGTATTTGTCTCTGGTTGCCATCGCTCAACAAATGCAGAAATGACAATCCTATTCACGAACCGATACGTGCAATGGACTAAAGAAGATAGGCCTGACTGCTGCACAATGTCTCTAAACCTTCTATTGTCGGTTCTTGACCACCACCGCCACTCAAGAATCTTAGACGCATGATTATAACACCTTAAGGGATTCCTCTCCTGCAAGGTAATTAATAATTAACATAAATAATGTGGTTCAATAAATAATTAAATGAATGAAACATGGTAAAAAATAGTTACAACCTTCTGATCCTATATAGCTGCTGCAATATGTGCCTTGAAGCTCTTTAGTACTAATGGATCTGATGGCCCCCCAGGAAACGGACCAGTGAGTACCTCGTCAACCTGATTAACATCAGTAGCATCATCATCATCCCCTGAACCATTATCAATCACATCCTCTTCCAAGATTTGAGGTGCTTCCTCTAACACAATATCATCACCTCGACCTCTATCCCGACCCCGACCTCGACCTCGACCTCGACCTCGGGCACGAGCAGGATTTGTTAATGCACGACATCGTCTCTCTGAGGTAGTGGGTGGAATACGCGAAGGGTCATCCATTTCTAAAAAATTAAACACAAAACAATAAAGTTAACAAAAATAACAATAAAGGTAGCAAAAGTAATGAACTTAAAGAGCTACAAATGAACAAGCTTGCAGAGATTTACAACAGAACAAGATTAGAGGACATTGTTAACACAATCATTAGCAAAGAGAGTTTGGACCCAGTTGGTGGTACTATGACTTTTAGTGAGGTGCTTTTCAATTAAGAACTATGCAGATAAGAGGCTGCAGTAAAGAAGTATGTGCTGTTTGGTTACACAGTTCAAGAAGAACTTGATTTCCTCTCTTGCAAAAGCATCTCATCACTGCTTCATTGAAGAGTACTTTCTGTGCAATACAACTAAAAGTCAACGTACTTCATAGATACAGCTAAAGAAACCATGAACCACTTCAAGCAACTGTAAAGATCTTCTAATGTAAACTCACCACAACACCAAATGGGGCCTTCATATCTTATTTCACCATTTCTTTCTAAGAAAACTTGTGGATTTTAGGTAGGCATGCCTACAGTAGGTTCTTTGTCTAAATTTGAAGTTTTCTGATTTACCTTGTGGATTTGGTGGCTGTCTAGTGTCTTGTGAAAGTACCTCAGAACTTTGGCAAAATAAAACTACAAGCACAGGAGCAATATAAAAAATAAACTAAAACGGACCCACACAGTTTGATATGAAAACATGCTGATAAAAGTTGCACCTCCAATCTAAAATATCACGGGCTTCCATTATGAGAAAATAAAAATTGCTAACATTTATATTTGACATTTTATGAATGAGAAGTTTTGGACTTCACTGGATTATGGCTCTTGTTTGGACATCTGTTGTTTTACTTGTTATGCTGCCAGTGCCTCCAGTGGTTGTGCGGAATGATGAATGGACATGGGAAGACATTTACCATTACTTGTATGAAGAAAATGCCTTTTACAATATTGTTATATCACCAGGTCCCGGTTCTCCCACATGCCCAGCAGATATAGGTTAGATAAATGAACTATGCTTTTTAGCCTTTTATTCTTATGTGCTTATGGTAAGCAGTTTGAATCAGTGTCCTTGGACATAAGGTTGACAGTGGAAGTTTACATTTTCTGTAGGATGGAGTTTTAAATGTAATCTACATCCTGAATAATGCAATATATTTCATTGCCAAATTAATATTGTTCAGATCAGACCGAAACACTATCTTATTAAAAATATATCTGTTGAAACTTCAGAATTCTGCACCTTGTGCATTAGACCTTTATGAATTTGACAGTTTTGGTTGTTGCTGTGATAGGGTGATGAGGTTGACTGTCATGCTATAGATTTCTGCTTTCATTATTTGCACAGTCTTTTTACTTAGCTGAATTATATTACTTGTTTGTAACTTATTTGAATCTCACAGGAATATGCCTTAAGCTGCTACTCAAGTGTAGGGACATCCCTATATTAGGTGTTTGCCTTGGACACCAGGTATTTCTCTAAAAATTTGTTCGTAAGAAATTGGTCACAGTGGCAACTGTGACCTGATCAATCACGTCTGTACCTGTTTGATTATATTGACGATTGTTACTTAAAAGAGCCCATGATGTCATTTGAAGTTAACAAATTGTTACTTAAAAGATCAGTTTGTCAAGAAGGAAACAGTTCAAAATGCAACTTTGAATAAAATAATTAAAAACACCATCAATGGATCCTGCACACCGTGCTACTGCAACTTGCACCAAGCTATTTAGGAGTATGTTGCAGATTTTCACATAAGAAAGTCACATCCAACTTGCAGTCTCTTTTCAAATGAGAGTAGCATATAAGACAAACATACCTAGATGCCATATATTTGCATACATAGACAGCTTTGCAAACTAATCATTTAAAAGAAATCAAAATGCAACAATTATGCTTTTCAACAACAAATCAACAATTCTTGGGACAGAACTGTGACTATCAATTCAGAACTAAGATGAAAACTCTCGAAGAATAAATAGTCAATAATGAATACCTGTCCTGTAGTAGTTCTTGGGATAACAGAGATTGAAGCAATGTCTACATAAGATTGGGCAGTAATAAATACATCAACACAGACCTGAAAACAGTGAGATTCAATCATAGAAAAGTTATGGATCCATCATGAGTCTCAATGAACACCATGGGGAAATTTCAGAACTATATTGAATAGAAAAAAACAAATCAGTGAAACTCCACCTGGTACTCTGCAAGTTCAACAGCCAATGTCTTTAAAATTTTGTCACCTGGTTGGAGTAATTTATGGGCCTCCTAAAATTCAACAACAAACATAATAGTAAAACTTACAGCAAGGAGATGGAAAAAAAGAATGATGGAAGAGAAGAGAGAGACCGTGTATGGCTAATGTGAGATACTAAAAATTAGGATTCACTCCCTTAGTCACATGTATTTATATTAATATGGTACGACTAATCAACCAAATGTAGCATAAAAGCATAACACATACCACATACACTATATTATAAAGCCAGAATCTCATAGCTATGTTGAACTAGTTTATCTTTATTTTCCAATCTACATCTTGAAGGATACAGATGTATATGAATTAATGAAAATCAACAAGTACTACAAAAAAATAGTAGGGAAAAAATAAGAAAATTAGAAAAGAGAAAAATTAGGCTGGTCATTTAGAGAGAGAGAGAGAGAGTCTCATTTCCAAGCTATTGACAAACAATACAAGCTCTCAAGGAAAGAAAGGTTCTATCAATTCACCACGCATTTCGAAATTATTTATTATAAAATAAAATTAAAAAGGTATTGATTAATTGTTCATTGGATTTGATGCTCTCTCTCAAAAGCCTTGCCAGGTGACCATATTGATAGAAAGCACAAGTACCAAAAACAAGAACTGCTAAAGCTGCATTTTGCCAAAAATATTGTGTAACGCAAGCACAATAGTCATAATACTATGCTGCTACTATCTGTCCCTAACCCCAAATTGAACTAAGAGGAACACTTGGGCGAGGTATATGGGCATCCGTTTATAATTGACTTGCTTTTTGTGCTAAATCTATAATTGTACATATATAGATTTATGTGAAAATGATTTATATAATCGACTCCATTTGATTGGGATATAAGATTTAGTTTAATTTGATTATATAGATATCTATGTGTATCAATGGATTCACATGTGAATCTTTATTAAAATACTTAACTCTAACTGAATGTAAAACTCAAAAAGTAAGTGTCATACCAAGAAACTACGTGTTCCTTGAACTTTACAAAAATTGTCTTTGATTGTGATTTGATATGATCGTCACTTATCTAGGGTTTAAAGATAAAGGACATGAAATTTGGAGGTTTGCCTATGTAATTGAGTTATGAGACATATTCTCCAACCCTCATGCAGTGTATTTAATTACATGATAATCACTTATAAACAATACCAATATATCAAAAGCTTTGAGTATTATAGTTGTAATTAGTGTTGGTAGTATCTTATAACACTTAAATAAAAAATAAAAAATTCTGGAGCTTATTAATTTCTGAATAGAATTATAAATTGAATATTGTGCATTGATTGTGAATTAGTTTTTAATGAAAATGTGGCAATATTGGTCCACAGGATGCCTTATGTTAACAATAACATCTATCTGGAGCTTGAAAATGTGGCAATATTGGTCCACAGGATGCCTTATGTTAACAATAACATCTATCTGGAGCTTGAAAATGTGGCAATATTGGTCCACAGGATGCCTTATGTTAACAATAACATCTATCTGGAGCTTGAAAATGTGGCAATATTGGTCCACAGGATGCCTTATGTTAACAATAACATCTATCTGGAGCTTGAAAATGTGGCAATATTGGTCCACAGGATGCCTTATGTTAACAATAACATCTATCTGGAGCTTGAAAATGTGGCAATATTGGTCCACAGGATGCCTTATGTTAACAATAACATCTATCTGGAGCTTGAAAATGTGGCAATATTGGTCCACAGGATGCCTTATGTTAACAATAACATCTATCTGGAGCTTGAAAATGTGGCAATATTGGTCCACAGGATGCCTTATGTTAACAATAACATCTATCTGGAGCTTGAAAATGTGGCAATATTGGTCCACAGGATGCCTTATGTTAACAATAACATCTATCTGGAGCTTGAAAATGTGGCAATATTGGTCCACAGGATGCCTTATGTTAACAATAACATCTATCTGGAGCTTGAAAATGTGGCAATATTGGTCCACAGGATGCCTTATGTTAACAATAACATCTATCTGGAGCTTGAAAATGTGGCAATATTGGTCCACAGGATGCCTTATGTTAACAATAACATCTATCTGGAGCTTGAAAATGTGGCAATATTGGTCCACAGGATGCCTTATGTTAACAATAACATCTATCTGGAGCTTGAAAATGTGGCAATATTGGTCCACAGGATGCCTTATGTTAACAATAACATCTATCTGGAGCTTGAAAATGTGGCAATATTGGTCCACAGGATGCCTTATGTTAACAATAACATCTATCTGGAGCTTGAAAATGTGGCAATATTGGTCCACAGGATGCCTAGACACTGTAAAAACATTTAGAACAAAAAATAAAATGGCTGGAAAAGCATATCTGGTGGATCTTGTTCTCTTCTCTCTCTAAATTGACATTGAGGCAGTGGTCAAACAGCTCAAGACCCTTTTTTAAAGTTTTGTAATGGTTCAAGGTGGAAACAGGTTTCCCTCCTCTTGTCTGAATTTTTGTGCTTGTGGAAACAGGGTCAGAAATGGAGAGTAGTATCTATACAATTCTCACTATAGACCGTTGGGAATCACTGAACCACATGGAATACAAATTGGGTTCTCTCAGACCAGTTCATGGGAGGCTGGCTTTGAAATTTCTCAACTGGGTCATCACACAACCTGGTTTGGAGATTGCTCACATCACTCATGTATATTGTATCACAACCCATATACTGATTAGGGCTAGAATGTATGACTCTGCCAAGTCTATTTTGACACATTTGTTTCAGATGGGTATTGAGTCAAACTCTGTTTTTGGGGCTCTCATGGACACTTACCCTCTTTGCAATTCCAATCCTTCGGTTTTTGACTTATTAATTAGGGTTTATTTACGAGAAGGAATGGTTGAAGATGCTATAGGGATATTCAATTTGATGGGTTTTCGAGGGTTTAGGCCGTCAATTTATACTTGTAATATGATCTTGGCGGCAATTGCCAAGGAGCGGCCTGTAGGGGCTGAATGGTCATTTTTTAAGCAAATGCTTGCGAGGAAAATTTGTCCCGACACATGTACATTTAATATACTGTTACATACTCTATGTGTTGATGGAAAGCTTAAGAAAGCGGGCTATCTTCTTAGGAAGATGGAAGAAGCTAATTATGTTCCGACTTTAGTTACTTACAATACTTTGCTCTATTGGTATTGCAAGAAGGGAAGGTACAAAGCGGCTTCTGAGCTAATTGATCACCTGAGTTGTAAGGGTCTCGAACCAGATGTGTGTACATATAACATGTTTATAGATGATTTGTGTAGAAATAATAGAAGTGCTAAAGGTTATTTGTTATTGAAAAAGATGAGGAAGAAGATGATTTTCCCGAATGAAGTCACCTATAACACTCTTATTAGTGGGTTTGTCAAAGAGGGGAAGCTTGGAATTGCTACCAGGGTTTTTGATGAGATGTCAACGTTTAACCTTTCACCAAATCGTGTTACTTATAATGCTTTGATTGATGGGCATTGTCAGGGAGGTAATTTTGGAGAAGCTCTGAGACTTGTGGATAACATGGAAGTGGTAGGATTAACACCTAATGAAGTTAGTTATGGGGCTATTTTGAATGGGCTATGCAAGTGTGGCAAGTTAAATTCAGCAAGAAGGATTCTTGAGAGAATGAGAAAGAACGGTATAGTTATTGGTCGTGTTGCATATACAATGTTGATTAATGGGTTATGCATAAAAGGGAGGCTCAATGAAGGTGTGCAATTGCTTGATAAGATGTTCAAGGATGGTGTGAGTCCCGATGTTATCACATACTCAGCACTTGTAAATGGATTCTGCAGAGTAGGAAAGATCAATAATGCGAAGGAGATGATATGTAAGATGTGTAAAGCAGGACTCGAACCAAACAGCATCATGTACTCTACTATAATCTACAACTTTTGCAAGCAAGGAAATGTTATTGAAGCAATGAAAGTTTATGCAGTTATGAATCAGAGTGGCCATGATGGGGACCTCTTCACTTGTAACGTGTTGCTTGCTTCTCTTTGTCGAGATGGAAGAGTAAAAGAGGCAGAGGATTTCATGCATCACATGAGCAGGATTGGTCTAGTTCCAAATTCCATTAGTTTTGATTCTGTTATAAATGGCTATGGAAGCATAGGTGATGCACTAAAGTCATTTGCCTTGTTTGATGAAATGATTTACTTGGGTCATCACCCTAGTCTTTACACATATGGGGGTCTCCTAAAAGGACTATGCAAAGGAGGAAATTTAGAGGAGGCAAAACAATTCTTGGATAAACTTCAATACATTCGTCGTGCTGTAGATGTTATTTTGTACAACACATTACTGGCTGAGACATGTAGATCTGGCAATTTGCAAGCAGCGGTAACCCTTTTAGATGAGATGGTCCATAATAATGTTTTCCCCAATAGTTACACATACACCAGTCTTCTTGCTGGGTTGTGTAGGAAAGGCAATGTGGTTGCTGCAATTCTGCTTTTTGAAAAGGCAATGGAAAGACAAACTTTCTTTCCAACCCAGGTTACGTACACCTGTTTAATTGATGGACTTTTCAAGGCCGGCCAGCGAAAGGCTGCGGTTCATTTCTATGAAGACATGGTGGAGAAAGGTCTGTACCCTGATACAGTTGCTTTTAATGTGATTATGGATGGTTACTCTAGAATGGGACAAGTGACTAAGGTGTACAATTTAATTTCTCGGATGAAGTATGAGAGTCTGTGGCCCAATTTGGCTACATATAACATCCTCTTACATGGGTATTCAAAAAAACAGGATATATCGAAATGCTTTGCATTGTACAAGACCATGATAAGGAGAGGCTTTGTGCCTGATAAATTAACATGCCATTCTATAATGCTTGGACTTTGTGAATCAGGTGTGCTGGACATTGGGCTTAAATTTTTAAAAAAGATGATTGTGGAAGGTACTGTGGCTGATCTAATTACATTTAACATGCTAGTTACTAAATTTAGTGAGAGGGGTGAGATGGGAAGGGCCTCTGATCTGTTGAAAGCCATGAATTTGTTAGGTGTATTTCCTAATGAAGAAACTTATAGTGCCATACTTAAGGGACTCAAACGAAAACTTGGTTTTCGAGAATCTTGCACTTTTTTGTATGAAATGTGGGGAAAGGGATTTATTCCTACCGATAGACAGTGTATCACTCTGATTACTGGTATGTGTAAAGTGGGGGATATACAAGGAGCATTCAAGCTAAAAGATGAAATGGAGGCACTTGGTGTTGGCTCCCGAGAAGTAGCTGAGAGTGCCATTGTTAGAGGGCTCGTGCAGCGAGGGAAGATGGAAGAGGCAATGCTGTGTCTTGATTGCATGCTTCGCGTGCAACTCATTCCAACAGTTGCTACTTTCACAACTCTAATGCACAGATTCTGCAAAGAATCTAACCTTCCAGAGGCTTTAAAATTACGGGATATAATGGAACATAATGGTGTGAAGCTTGATGTTGTTGCTTACAATGTCCTTATTACTGGCCTCTGTGCTAATGGTGATGTGGCACATGCATTTGAACTATATGAGGAGATGAAGCAAAGGGGTCTCTGCCCCAATACCACTACTTATGCTGTTCTTATTGATGCTGTTTGTACAGAAAGCAACCTTGTGATGGGCAAAATGCTTCTAGTGGACTTAGAGGAGAGGGAATTGATAACTGAAAATGGAAGTACTCAAGATTTGTGTGAGCGGTTGAAGATGGCTATGAAAAAGATAAATTTCTTGAGGTACAAAAGAAAGAAATATTGCAAAAAGTGGTAAGAGCTTTGCCAAATTATACGACTCATAGTCTGGAAGCTTACTGGCAGAAAAGGCTGATATGGGTGTTTGATTATTTCAACCAGTTGCGTTACTCGAGTCTAGGTCTGTATGATGCAGTTACAATCTTAAATCTTTTAATATGTACATCTTTGAAAGTGTTTTATATTTCTTCTGGCATTCACCTTTTAATTATTATATGTAATGTCTGCTTGTGTCTTAGGTCAGAAGCACTTGAGGAGCTGGTTTGTGCAGCTTTTGCATGAATATGATAGGCATTTTATTGAAGCTGAATGTGAAAGTGTTAGGAGACCAAGTACAACTTAATTTATGCTGTCAACATGGGTTTTCCATCCCACTAGCATGAGTGGTGATATGCACCACGTAAGTCTATAATGCCGTTCTTATTTTCTTTTTGCCTGCAAGAGTGTAAATGGTCTTCTTGATGTTGCTGCTAAACCATTGAAGGGGGGATTGGAGATGAGCCATTCAGTTCCATAGGCCTTTAGGCCATGTTTGGATGGCAGAAATCCATCACCAAGAATTTCATTCCAAGTATCCCATTACTAGTAATCTGACTCATGTGTTAATGTCTTCCAAGTGTTTGGATCAGTCACCAATCCTATATGGGAAAGTGATAAGATTTCTCTTGGGGGGTTTGGGAATAAGAACTTTCGTCAATGTATGCATTCTCATTCCACCTTTCTAAAGTTATCCCATAATGAAATTACATGTCTTGGGCACACTCAAACAATGAGATTGAGGGGACACAGAGTCAGGATTCTTATTCTGCCTCTCAGTTGCTGCTGTCCAAACATAGCCTAAGGCTTTGAAGACCATAGTTAGAGAAGAAGAGAAGAGACACGTTAAGTGTGTTTCTTTGACTTGGTTTGGTATGCCATGTCTAATCCTTTGGAGACTATGCTGTTTGACGAGGTGGTAACTTTTGTCTAACTTGGTAAATACATTCTATGGACACTCTTTGAAAGGATTTTTTTGTTCCAGTTTTGAGTTGTGTTATGAGATAAAATTTGAATTTTGCTTATCAATTCAGATCCATCAAACCCCTCTAGTTGAAGGATATGTGAATTTGGCAAAAGTTGTCACATTTTTATATTTTTAATCTATTTTGTTGAGTTGGTTCCTGAGTGTGACCAATATGCATGCCAAATAAATCTTGTCGTTGGCAGTACTAGCACCTCAACCTCGTGGACAACTCTCCTCCTTTGCTTTAAAGTAGTTCACATTTTTATTTCATGCGTACCTTTATAATAAGCATTAGTTGTGCATCTTGTGAAGTAAAATACATGAATCTCATAGTAGATTGCCCGAAGCTCAGCGACTAGTTGGATACGCTCTTTAAAAGTATGGTAATAATACCAAATTGCCTTACTCTGAGAATTTTTATTCGAGATGTGGTGGAGATGAGCTTCACAATGGGCATGTTGTACAATGGATGAAGACGAAAGCTGCATCTCTTCCCAAGTATTCTTTCTTCACTCTAAAATTTTCTATTTCTCTTTAATTCATCCTATTCTTTCAGCCAAAGTATTATTTCCTCTAAAAATAATCCAAGTTCTAGTAAGATTTTCTAATTACAATGTTACCCTTTTATTATTATTATTATTTATTTTACCGAAGTGGTAACATGCACAAACTACAACAATATATTGAGGCATGCAGGAACGACTTTTTCAACATGTTTTGAGATTATAATAGAGACGAGTGATGTATATTAATATAAGTATTTGGTAATTTTTGGATTTCCTCAATAACTTAACCTACTGTGCTGTTAAAGCCAGCGATCCACAAACACACCCAGTCAAACACTTCCCATCCTTTGTGGTTATTCTAAATAATTTTTCTGCCCATATATTATTTATTTATTCAATTAATTCTTAACACAAGTTTTGAGTATGGTGCAAAGGATCTTGACCTGTTGCAACAAAAACTGAAAGAAAATGAGAATTTCGGATAATGTTAAAAGCTACCTACCTCCACCATAGAAATTTCATGTATACAAATTGTTTAACATATTTCTTTTTACAGTTTATGTTGAATCTTAGAATTTCAATCCAATTTTATTGATGGTTTTCAAAATTAAGAGTTAGATTCATGATACGATTCTTGATTTGATAACTATGTTCCCTGGTGAAATTAAGGATGAGGATGTTTGTATTCTTTCTGTTTACTTATATTGTATTTTTCATGGTGTATATATATCAACCTATATAATCATCTTATTTGGTTTTGGTTCTTTCTTTTATACATGTTATAGTTGCTATAATTTTTACCTTCTCTCTTTTTCTTTCCTTAATTAGTGGGCCAATCTCAATGAACAACACAATGATGTTTACTCTAATGTTTGTATAATTTTTAACTACTAATTGGTTTCTTACAATTATTTGTTGTAGAAAATTAGATCTAAGGAAAAAATTTATTTGGCGTGTGACGGTGAACCATATCGGCAATGATCAGGACATTTGTTTTTAGTGTGCATTCGACATGAACATGCAGATGCATTTGTTTGGAGTCTCATCTCGAGGTAAGAGTTACTTTTTTTTTTTGATTTTTTGGTTTTAAAACTTACAGTTACTTTTTAAAACTTAAACTAGCTTATGTGACTATGCAGCTTGTTGATGCTTTTGCCGTGGTTAAAAACCGCTCAGAGTTCTACTGGGAATTTCTGTTGTCTATGAAATGTTGTACTAATATTTTGTTGATTCCTTCAATTTATCTAAAACAATATCAATATTTTGCGATGAATGTATAGATACATCAGTATTGGGAAATGTGTATGGCCACCTCAATTATAAAAATGCATCACTTTCATCTTTACAGATCCTCTCTAGACTGTCTCTAAAAGAGTTGCATTTGTATAATTTTTATAATTGAGGAATGAATATATACGAATGTATAAATAAAGAAATAAAGTGATATTAACACTTAAAACTTAAATAACTTAGAAGAGGACTGTTGGATGCAAAATATATGGGAAATTATATTTCCACACTATATAATTTCTCAGTACACATCGCAAAATGGTATTTGGATATAAATTTTCGAGCAAAAGCCAAATGTTTGGATTTAAGTTATGAATAAAAAAAAATTATTTAAATATTCATTCTGCTCAATTGATTATATCCAAAGATTTGCTTTATGTTCATAAATTTATATCTGATATTTAAATCTTGTTTGAAAATTTATATTTGAACACAATTTGTAATGTATACTGAGAGTTTATATGGTATGCAAATAGAATTTGTCATATAGTGTGTACTATATGCACCTTATAATAAAAGAAATAAAATAACATAATTTCAAACTTTTTAAGTCATAATTAAAAAAAAATAATCATAACTAAATACAATCTGAGTCATAATAACAGATCTCATGAGTCATAATTGAAGAAAAATTTTATCATAATTAAAAAAATAACATAATTAAAAGTGTATATGATACCTCCTTTTTAAGTGAATTCTATTTCTATACATTTACTTATCTCAGTGTCCATTATTTTTCAGTGTATACATTTATAAATTTAATTATGTATTATTTATCTCATTTCACACGCTATATATATTCCAGTTATAACATCTGACTCAAATATTACGCGCACACTTTCTACCCAAACACACCCACAAAACCCTGGACCCATAGACTGCCCTTGGATCAACCAAAGTAAAAAACAGGGACATAAGTTTTCATCTTTTTCTTTTCTCTCACTAAGAAATGTTACCTTTCTCTCACTACAATTTATTTATTCTTATAAAAAATAATTTCATTCTAGCAATTGGGTTTGGGTGTTACTGTTGGACGAGAGACAACCCACCAGTTGTTGCGGCTATCTAAAGGAGAGAGGAAGAGAGAGAGATGGCGATGGGATCACACCATACCAATTCTCACAACTAATTTAGATTGAAACGAGTACCAGTGAAAATGTCACAATTTCAATGGAGCCTTCAAGAAACCCTACTCACTTTTGAAAAACTTTTGTCATCTTGGTATGGAATTCTAGAAAACCCATTTTGTTTCTATATATGGAAAAGTAGATACAAGTATTTGGGTATATATGCACATATATATTATATACACGTATAGAAAGCTATTCAAGACGAGAGAGAACACAAGAAAATGAAGAAGAAAGTAAGTGTATTCACTGTTCACGAGATGTGATGGTTTCAAGCGGTTCAAACTAAGTTCAATCACCATTCACCGGTATGCATAGATCTTTCGTAGACGCGAATAGATCTTTCTTAGAACCGAACACAGGCCGAAGTCATTTTTTTTTTTTTTAAATTTTTGTAAAAATATGTAATTAAGATGTGAACTGAAATTTTTTATTTTTAAAAGATGTGTGTCGACTAAATTTAAATATAATATTAATGGTGTGTTTTAATATTTATTATGATTATTTTATTTTTGGATATAATTATCTTTAAAATAATTTTTTATTAAATATGTGCACTGAAATAAGTAGATATATGAAAATAGATTTTTCTTCTTTTTAAAGACAAAGATATTAAGGGTGTGTTTGGTGTGGAGTTTTAATTATGATTCAAAATCATATTTGAGCAATGTGTTTAGATAAAACTTTCAAAATACATTTCCACATCACTTTTGAAAACACTTTTCAGGCAGGATTTGAATTTTGAAATTTGGCCTATCCGACGTCCTGACTGGTTGACCGAAACAGTACATTTTTTTTTTTGGCAATTGGCACCTGTTATTTTTTATGTATTAAATAAAATATATTTTCTGAATTTTTAAAATTTCTTTATGAGTTTTGAATAGAATTTTGAGTTGTGAGTTTGATTATGAGTTATAAGTTTTTAAATCAAATATCATATGTCACATCAATTATTTCAAACTCAATTTAAAACTCGTTTCAAAACTCATAACCAAACAAATTTTCTACACTCAAATCATAATTTCAAAACTCACAAACTCAAAATACAACTCTATTATTAAATTATAATTCTAAAATTTTACCGAACAATCTCAGGGATAGAATGTAATTTCCAAAACTACAGGGAGTAATCTGTATTTTAATTAAACCTCAGGAGGTGTATTTGTAATTTACCCTTAAAAAAACTTTACAATAAAAAATATCTACCCTAAAAAATAAAATAAAGAAAATTTTTAAATATTTAAAAAAAAATAAACCCAAAAAATTTTAAAATAAAACTCAAAAACTCAAAATTCAAAATATAACTCAAAAGCTCAAATCATAATTCTAAAAGTAAAACCTATATTTTGTTAGGTTTAATATCACACTTGTCAATCAGGTAGTAAACTCGATGGGATAAGACGGCCTTCTAAGCGTATGGATGCAAACAATTGACTTTCATCGCTTAAAAAAAAAATCAATGTGATAAATGGTCATTTTTCCATCGAATAGTGAAAAAAACAGACACTAGAATCACCATCAAAGCCTAACCACATGCTTTGCATCAAGATGCACTTGCAGGCCCCAATGGCCGTGAGATAACCACCCTTCAAATATTTCTTAATTATAAAAACGTATAAATTAAACCATTATATCGGAAGGCACCAAAGTGAAACAAATAAATAGGGATACATTTGTACGTTAGGGATGCGTCAAAAAATATTATAAAAAAGTAATAAATTTTATAAATATTAATAATTAAAATTAATATTTTTTTATTATTGTATAATAATTTTTTAAAATTTCACTCGAATATAATTTTTTTTAATTTTTTAATTACATTTTATTTCTCCTCTCTAAAAAAAAATTACATTTTATTTCTTTAAATTATAATTCAGTAGTATTTTACTTTCTTCAACAAAAAATAAAAAAAAAATACACTTTTCATTTTAAAATATTAATTTATAAAGCTGTAAATTTCATTTTATTCAGTAATAAATATCATTCCTATTTCTATTCTGCTACCCTCTGAACAGAATAGGTCTTCTTGCAAAAATGAACTTAACCGGTATATTTGGATTCATCGACTATAAAATTGTATCATTTTTAGGGAAACATTTGTACCTTTACTATTTATTTATTTTTAAATAGTTGTTAAGGTTTAAATGTATTATTTTGAAGTGATGTTTAGTGTTGGAATTCTAGAAACACCGAGGAATATTCAATTGCTTTCAAGGAGATACAGATTTGAGTAAAATTAGGTAATGTTTTTTTTACTGGTCTGTGAATTGTTTTGAGGATTATTAAATTAGGTAATTTATTATATTTGTGTCTTTTCAGGTTTAATGTGTTTTTGTTAGTGGTTTGAGAATTATTCTGAGGATTGTTTAATATGTTTTTGTTAGTGGTTTGGGAATTGTTATGAGGATTGTCAAATTAGGTAATTTATTCTATGTGTGTCTTTTCAGGTTTAATAAAGTCTACATACTGTATTTTCTACAACCTTTTTATGAACTTAACTAAGTTTACTATAAACTCTTGGTTACTGTTTTCTATTTGTGTGTGGTGCTTGTAATTGCTCATCCGTGAAACTATCCAGCTCTTTATGTTTTGATAATTTTATGAAATTTTGAGCTTCTGGTGGAACGGTTGCTCACTGAATCCACACTTGAAGCCGCTATTGAGAGCAAAAAACAATTACTGCATGATATCCCATCGACAAGTGAAGATATGATGAATGATTTTTCTTCTCATAGGATGGATGCTGATAGTGGATCATCACTGACGAAATTGGTTTTGTGTAGAATTTGCCATGATGAGGATGAAAATTCCAATATGGAGATTCCTTGTTCATGTTGTGGCACTTTAAAGGTCAGTTTCTTTAGCCTCTAATCATTTGAGGAAAATACCAAATTGTTGATGGAAATTTTGGTTTAGTATTAGTTTAGTGTCAATTACTTGTAGAGTGTTTGCAAAAATTGCCAAATTAATGGAACAATTCAATATACTTCTACCATAACATTCAATTTTTATGTTCTTATAGGTGCATTGTTTTGTTTCCTTTCTCAAAGTCATTGTCTACTTTGGTTTATTTGTTACAGTTCCTCAATTACATATTCCCAGTTTATTTTCATGCATGAAATTCAAACCTCAAGTTCATCCTTATGTTTCCAATTTTTTTGGTCGATGCATATTTTCATTCTTGAGGTTTTATAATTGTACAATTGGATTATCTATTTTGGCTGCAATCTTTGTTCTAGAATGCGCGTGGCTCTTGTAGTCTAAGTGTGTGCACATTGGAATGAGTCAATCATTCATTTTGGTATCTTATTGAACCAAAACAGTGATATTGTTTCTTCGCTGATCAAGAATTTTGATTGTGGGGATATATTTTCTGAGTACCAACACGTGGCTAAGGTGACGCCGACGTGTCAGACGAGGTGCCACGTGTCCTGGTCATGACGCCGAGGTTATCTCGGCGAGGCCGAGGTTACCTCTGAAGATATCGAAATCCGAGATGAGCGGATAAGGCACAAGAGTCCTAGAATGATAAGGGGACTCGGCCTGGATAAAGATAAAGCTCTTAGGGAGTTTATCTCTATCTATAGAAGAGTCCTGGATAAGCACTGAGCAGAAGTCCATTGAAGCTAGGCTTCTATGGAGACTAGGATTGAGTTAACTATTAAAGAAAGGCACCCCCGATGGATCTAAGGTACGCAATTTATATTCTGAATAGTAAGATTAACACCATTGATTATCTTTGAGAGATATACTGACTTGATCGTCGGAGTGCCCCCGGATGGACGAACCACCGCCGGAATCTTCTTTTCTGTTGCAGGTCAGCCAGGTGTCATCTATTCTACCAGTGTTCTCCAGCTGAATACTGAGTTGAGCAGTGTGATCGAAATTCACCCACACAATTTGGCGTCGTCTGTGGAAAAAAAAGGAGAA